TTTTTTTGCATATTGGGTAGACAGCTAGCTGGGTACAGACAGACCTGGTTTCACATTGTCTTGACGTAGCGTATTTACGTCCCAAGTCCAAGTCCACATTGCGTATACGAGCCCTTCAAACGCAAACCATAGATAGATATGGATCTCAGGGTAAAACCGGAAACAGGCACCAAAAACCATCATCCAGAACGGAAAACCGCCCTCACAGCAGGATGAATTTTCCTTTCAGGTTTTCTTTGTCCAGGTGTGGATGCGCCGGGATATACCTGGCTAGAATCGGTCAGGGAATAAGGTTGGCGATCGTTGGCACTATCTATTTTTGTATTACTCGGAAGAGACCGAGTACCTTGGTTCTTTCTATTGCGTTGGTGCTCTGGCTCTGTATGTGGGGGACACAAAGAAAGTTGTATTCAGAGTTTCCCTAGGGAGCGGAACCTAGATGATAATGCGGGTGGACTATTAGGGAGCCGGAGTGTCGGTTTTTTTGTTACAATAACGGGGCTAAGCTAAGGTAGATTAGTTGATTTAAGTAACTTAACAGGAGAATTCATATAGGGATGGAGAAATAATTGGATTCGATTATGCCGGAACGCCTTCCTTGTATGTGCCACAGTGATAATAAGGGTTATAAGTAGAATATCAATTGTGGGGGGGGGGGACTGAGAAGAGAAGATCGAACATGTTGCGGCGGTCCTGTGTCCCTCAAGACGGCCCATGTCGTGGTCTGAAGAAAGTATGAAACAAACAGGAAAGAAAAAAGAAAAACACACAGACGATACAATGCAATGCACCGTCTATCTCGTAACGCCGGTCTGGTATCCGTACATAAGTCGTCATCCGTACATGAAAAGCTGAAGGGAAGAAACAAAGGTAAGAGGATGTATATGATCAGGGCCCGGAAGCCAAGACCCTTCGTAGAAGATATGTATGTGTGTAATGGACAGAGGTAATATGATATGCAGGAATGGGTGCGGGGAATATAAAAACAAAGCACGTCACTCAATGACATGCGGTCGATCACTTGCCTCCCAGTAGCCAATGAAACATGTGCAAGAAAACATCCAAGCCAATAAGGTACAGGAGAACATCGACGAAGCCAAGACTTTGTCGTCGCATCTTAGGCCCGTTTTGTCACCCGCTTGGTCGCCGCACGGCGCTTGGGCACATTCAGGTGGTGGTACGACCGCAGATGCTCAATCAAGTGGTCCCGACGCGGGAAGCCGTTGCTGTCTTTGCGGATGCATCCTTGCACCGGGCAGTCCTGGAAGACAGGGTTGTGGACACTGGAGTCGTGCCGCTTCAGGTCGGCGGGGCGAGTGAAGGCCCGGCCGCAGTCACAGATGTAGGGCTTCACCGGTCTAGACGAAAGGAGGGAGGGGGGTTAGCAGTGCGAAATGAGATGGCTGAACCTATTCCATGGGCCTGATACGCACTTGGCGGGCTCACTGGGAGGAGGAGTGCAGTAGGTCTCCAGTGGGGGGTAGGAAACCTCCTCTACTTGGGTGGTCTGCGTAGTGGGCCATGTGCCCTGGACCGGGGAGGAAAAGTACTGTGGGGCGTACTGTGGGTGGATGTTCGCTGGGCAGTAGACGGGAGGAGGCGTGAACTCATAGGAGACCTCGTAGGCTGGTGCTTCATAGGACGTCGAGTCGAAAGAGGATGGGCTGAATGAGGAGGCGGAGGAGGCAGAGGAGTAGGAGGAATAGTTGGAGGATGGATAGGAGGATGCATGGGAGGGAGCGTGACAGAGCTCATAGTCATGGCTCGCCATATGGTATACATCGTAATATCCCATTGACTGTGTCAAGGAGTCTTCGCTGCTGGTGGAGTAGGAGTGCTCCATGGGAGGGCATGCCGGAGCATGGGAGCTCTAAAGTTGGACGGTTAGTTTGAATTACTTGATGATATTGATGTGTACTGTACAAGCGCCAAAGAAAAAGAAAAGGAAAAAAAGAAGAAAATAATTATATTGTCACATTGGTTATCGAACAAGCGATCCAGAGGGGGCAAAAAAGAAAAATAAAAAAGAAAATAAGAAAAGAAAAGAAAACATGGGGAAGAACGGTCCATTGGTTGCATACCATTGGAGAAGCATATCGCAACATTATGAATACTGGGATGGGTAATAAAGGAAAGAATCCAGCAAGTTTGAAATCGACCAAAAAAAAAAAAAAAAGTAGTTGTGCCCAAAAGTTCTTGGAGGTCAGTGAGTGAATATCTACAATCCGGGGGGAAAAGTAGTGACTTTATATCCGACGAGAGTATCTCGAGATCCGTACGTTGGTACATGGATTCAATCGAGCACACCGCGCTTTCTCCACAGCGATGTCTGACTAGGGGTCCCGTCTGGCGTGTTAATAACACGAACGACATCATCAGGTGAGCAAGAGCTCTACGATCATCGACTAAAAGTCCCGCCTGGGGAGACCCATGCAGGAATTCGACATGAATATTGGCCGGCGGTTATCGACAGCGACGCACTGCCACCATCCGCTCCACGTCTTATTGGAGCAGGAAGAGTGATGCGTCCTTGCACTGCTTACGCTAAGAAGGCCGCTAGAATGAATCGAAAGTTCTGCCAGGCTTCTAGTAGTGTTCTGGCAAGTCATGATTGGTAGATCCAGCCCCAGGGGCACTGCAAACACGGGCCGATAGGAAAAGTGACACCACAGGCTGATTGAACTTTACATCATAAACTCTTCCCTTTCTCCACTTCATTCACAGTGGATCTTCTCTGGAGACCAATAAGGCAGACTCTGAATTGAACTGCACTTGTGCCCTAAGCAAATCCTGGTCCCCTCCGCCTTCCTCTCGGACTACCCCGGTCCTAATTCGTCGGGAATGCTTGGACCGGCGGTTTGTGGTGATATCGGAAACGCACTGGTTTTCTGATAGAGAGGTTCTTGTCTTGTGTATCCACTGTACGAGGGAGGGGGGAGTCGTGTGCTCCGAGGAGATATCAATCTATTATGTCGTTGATTGTGACTGTCCCTAGGAGCCGCTGGTGAGAGCAAAAAAAGACTTCTACGATTGATAGGTTGACGGTTCTTACGTCGACTGGATTTATTTTTATTTTTTAAGTTTGATACTTTTGATACTGGGGATCTCTTCTTTATGTTGGTGATAATAATGAGCATAATAATCATAATAATAGTTCCATATTTTATTATTATTATAATGATTTTCTCTTGGATCCAGGTACACCCAAAATCTCGTCGATCCATGAACACCCAATTCAACCTGGCCGGCACGTCTTCCGACTTCTTTTATTCATTGGTTTTTGAACGGAATGCAACGATTCGACAGCCTTGTAGCAGTGGAGTATCGCCAAGCAACCAGACTAGTCTGGGGACGGATTGATTCTCCTAATAAATGAATAAAATAAGGAATTAATTCCTGATAGGACGGGCCAGAATTATTATCTAATCCATCTTGAACCGGTGACGGAGAAATCAGCCGCACAGCCCCTCCTCTTGAACATGGTGAACTTGATCATCATCACTACTACTATTGACTGGGTACAACTGTCTTACGCCGATTCTCTTCACCAGCCACTCGTAAGAAGAAGCCCAACTAAACCATGTAGGGAAAGAACTTCGGTCCTTTCGTGAGGGATTTTTGTTTCCTTGATGAGGTACTTACTTTCAATCTGACCGTCATTTGATTTATTTATCATTGAGGCTTTTCTTTTTTATTTCGAGAAACAAAATGACTCGACGGGTGAGGCGGACGGGCGAGAGAGAAAAAGGGAGAAATCAATTGTTGACTTTGTTTGTCTGTCGGGCACTGCAAAAGTGTAAACTTCTCACCTTTTGACTGTCAACATACCTTGACCGACCTGACTTACTTCCTTAGCACTAAAGAAAATGTCCGGTGACTGAGGAGCTTAGTCCCCCCAGCTACTACGAAACTCACCCTAGGTTCCTCCCGTCCAACCAATAACACTCGTATTCATTATAGCAGTGATCGTGAATCATATTGTACTACTGATTACCGTTTCATCTTGCTTCTTCTTTGTCCAATACAGAATGTTGCCAATTGCGAACGCTCACGGCACTTTCACGCCTGTCCTACCCTTGGGGATCGCTACGCTTCCCAAGGCGCCAGACCCGGTCCAGATGGGTCTGACCGGGGACGGCACGATGCAAAATCCTTCATCGGTCAACATGGTTGCATTACTTTAAATGGTCAACCCAAACAGTGTTGGTGTGCTTGTGTATGCATAAGACATGGCTGTTATATTCCATCAGCCGCCACGCAAGAGCGGCAGAGAACTCCCCTGTCCCGCAGTCCCAGTCGTGTACTCGTTCCTGAAGAAATCTCTCAAACACAAAGAAAGAAAAAGAGAAAGTTGAAAAAGTCAAAAGAAATGACAGACTCCCATCCGTCGGCAACCCGAACGATCTGAAACTCAATGCCCGTTTCCAGAGTAGTGACCACACCGCAGATAATTGGACCAAATGCCTACCATACATACACGGAACTCAAAAAGAAATTGCAACTGGAGAAGAAAAAGGAGCGTACTCCCGAACTATAGTTCGTCTTCCAGATACTTGTAGACAAACTTGAAATCGGCCTTGCGTCGGTTCATCCTAGGGAACTGGGTTAGCGGAGATTGAACTCCCGAGATAAACTCCGACCAGAAACCCAAAAAGGAAAAGGGATGATAAGACGCCACTCACCATGTACTCTCGTAATCAAAGAACCGATACGTCCCTTGTTCGAATTCCTCCGTGATGGTCTTGGGCTCCTCGTGTCGTTGGAACCAGGTTTGGTACTGCTTGTGGAATCGCCAACTTTGGCTCTTGAGCGCTTTGGCCGCCAAGAACTGCTGATACGTGCCCTGTCGGTAATAAAACAGATAGAACAGCGTATCCGTATCGATCCGTCCGCCTTCATATAACCGGGGGTCGTCGAAGATAGCTAGGGGCTCTTGAGGGTAATAAAGAGGGGTATTGTATGGGTTCTGAGGCTTATAATGACGTGGCTTCTCTGCATCGGCCGGTTCGGGGCAGGTGCTGATGGAGGCGGCGAGGAGCCGTTGAACCGACGGGGGGTTTGTGGAACTTTGTTGTGCTGTTCGGCTCTTGGTCACCTCGAAGGAATGAATCAGATCTTGCAGCCCCGGAGGTAAATGGTATAGCGATTCCTCGTCGTGCGACTCTTCTGTGCTCGCTTCACCATTTACCGTTGGTTGGGGTTCTTTGGTGGCTGAGCTCTCCGCCTTGTTTGTTGCAGGTGTCGACTGCACCGTATTCGATGCACTCGCGGCTGCGACACTGGGGCTGAGCGCGGGGGTCTTGGACCGCTCTTCCGAAGCGCTGGTCGTCGTCGTTGTCGGTGTTGGCCTAGAGATAGGTTGTACCGATGCAACGACAGGCGAAGCAGTCGACGACGGCCTCGAGGCCAAGCTGGCGGCGGGGAATGCTGGACTGGCGCCTGGTGGTGGGGGGAGGGGAGCGATGCCAACACCGTTCTTATCGCTGGCAGCTGCCGCCGCGGCAGCGGATGCATATTTGAGAGTCTCACCAGGTAGACGGGTCGGTGGTGGCGCAGGCTTCATCCCCGACGTGCCACTGGTGGACGTTGACGGATGTAGTGTCGCAAGCACTGGCAGTGGGGATTTCATCTGAGCCGAGGGTCTTCGAGGCGCCGTCGATTCACTCTTGATGGATTTTGGCCTCGAGTCCGTATCGTCCTCTTGGACGGATTGTGTATCCTGTGATGATACTTTGTCGTTGTCGCCAGTCATGCCGAACTGAGCTTCAGTCTCACCATCCAGGTTCAGGTCATCATAGAGAGTCTCATCTTCGCCAGAATAGTCCACATTGTGCCCATCCTCCACATAGTACTTTATACTCTCCTTCAAGTCCAACACTTGGTTCGTCTCGACGTTGCCATTCTGCAGTGATCGTAGCAAGAGTTCTAGCTTATTGACATGCCACTTATGTCGTTCTGTTATCCGCGTAAGATCTGCTAACCGGTTCGTCCTGGCGACGTCCTTCTTGCCCTTCTTCACCTGCATGTGCAGTGTCTCTTCTTCGGCTTCCATGGCTTCGATCTTCTGTTGTAACTCGTCGACCATATTCGATAAAAAGTCACATGTTTCCACCTTCTCTTTTTCCCTTGGATCGAGTCTCGATGCGGCCGAAAGTCCCTCTTTCGAGTATGCTTTCGTCTTCATCTCCTTTTCTACCGCTTTGAACTGCTCCATACACTGCGCCTGTGTTAGCTATTTCGCATGTCCGATAAGCCGACGGAGGGCAGGATTTGTCGGGGAATCGTTAGCCCACAGTTTCGATGGCTCGACGCTGCTCTAGCAGCGGTCCCTTGTCTTTGACCTCATTACCCGAAGCCCATGATTTGATCTGGTCGCGATACCGTTGGAGCTTCTTGATCTCCCGTTTCAGGTTCTCCTCGAGCTTATCCCGTTGCGTCGGATTCGACGTGGAGCGGATCTTCTCGTAGATGCCCTCGAACGATTGAATGCCTTCGGCGACCTTCTTAAAGGTCTTATCGATCTCTTGTTGTATCTTTCGCGATGTCATGGCTGCTGTTCAAATGAACAGATTGCCAAAGGGGGGGTTTGAAAATTGCAGTTGAGGTGTGGGTTCAGGGTGGGAGGAAGCGGAGGAAGGTAGGGCGGGTGGGAGGGATGCGTATAAACTCGACACTGGGAGGTTATTAAGAATCAAGGTTGCCGGGCAACTCTGTCCTAAATTCAAGAACCGGTGCGCGTTGGGTGAATGAATTGAATTGACAAGAGAAAGGTGGACAATCTCCTGATATGTGTGCATGGGAATGGATTCAGCGCCTGTCGAAGAGCTCAGTTGGCGCCAAGACTTCACGGGCGGCGTAATTCAAATCAAATGGGTTTCAATGTGTGCCTCAGTCATTTCTGCGCGGGAACACAGTTCAACTTTCCTCCGATCCTCTTACTCGTTTTTCTTTACTAATACTTCTTCCTCGACTTATTATAAATTCCCTTAACTTATTGCCTACAATCCCATAACCTGTTGTCTCTTAGTCTGTGAAATCGCTTGTGTTGCGAATATTCCTGGTACGTCAAAGCGCAGTTTGCAGCAATCGCCCCCCGTTCTATAGATGCTGCGACACCATGAATACCTATCGCATTAGCACATGCATCGTTCAGCTAATTTGTTTTGTGAATATAGTTTTTTCGGCCTTATCCCGATATCCTCCCTTTTCCTACTTGTGACATACCTCAATATATCTCATTATGAAGGGTTCGCCCCGTCGTCTCATCTTCATCCAAAACACCCTTACTAAGAAGAATTATCAGCGGTTCTACAACGAGTCAAGTCCGCGTCGGTTACTGTCGACGGACAATTAGTTTCCAAGATCGGTCGAGGCCTTCTCGTTCTAGCAGGCGTCGGAAAGGGCGACACAGAAAAGGACGCGGATACGTTAATACAGCGGATATTGAAAGCGAAGTTGTTCCCTGGCGAGGATGACAAACAGGTGAGTCACTAGCGGTCTGGGACTGTAGAAGATTGAATGGATCAGCTCTGACGGGTATCACTCTATGTGAAGTGGAAGAGGAATGTCCAGGATATTGAAGGAGAGGTTCTCTGCGGTATGTGATCTCGCCTCGACAAATACCTAGATGGTACTTGCTGACTGTCACAGTGTCACAATTTACACTCTACGGCCAATTGAAAAAGGGCAGTAAACCAGACTTCCATGACGCCGCTGACGTGGAGACTGCACGCAAAGTATATGACTACTTCTTCCGGCGATTAGGTGAAGTCTATAACCCTGAACGGGTGAAGAACGGGGTCTTCCAGGCAATGATGGATGTCGAACTGAAGAATGATGGGCCGGTGGGTGTAGATTACCGCAGTGAAGATGCAGCGGTATAGCTATTGCTTGTTCCTTTACTGCTCCTTGCCTTTTTGACGAATGTTTTGCTGACGAATGGGAAATTTAATTAGGTTACGATCGAAATCAACACACAATTGCCGAAGAAGGAGAAGTCGGGGGACGAAGAGCCGTCGCAACCGGTGCAGAAGAATATTGAAATCCGACTGCCTCCCGAGTTGTTGCAGTAATGATCATCTTTTCATAGTATATAGACGATACCACTTTCTGTTTTCCCCTCCTTCTTGTGTGGGCTGGTAAATAGATTGGATAGAATTTGTACAAATTATGGGGATTTAATGAACGATATTAATGACTGCTACTGGTATTATTATAAGATCTCTTGAGCGAAACGGCCAATGAGCAACTTCAACGGTCTTCTTGGAATATAGACTACTGATGATGAATAAGTGAACTGCAAGTCCTGTCCGTTTCTTGTATACATCACTAACTGTGCTACCTGTACGTCATGCTCACTGTTTATCACATTAATAAGATAATCATATTTTTTGGGTTCAGTGCATGGGTTAGCTTCCATAACTATGTAAGCACTGTAACCCGGATTCTTATTTCTAAAGGTGCCTGAAAAGCCTCTGGCCGCTATGCCAGCTTCTGGATGATGATAATCGCATGCTTCTCTTGCAACATTGATAGACTTGCTTCTCTGAGCTGCTCAGAAGGTATATTGGCCTTGTAGATGATGGAACCCAGACAAGCATCCGAGCACTGAAGATACGGACCCGTGTCTCCCTCGAAGGAAGTCACCCGGTCCCTGTCAAAGGTATAGCCATTTATCCTCGAAGTACCTAGTCAGTACGCTGAAGCTGATGATACGGACTAGAATGAACCGTTTAGAAGCCATATCCTGCACTAGGACAGCGGAGATGCCCAAGATATCAGCGGTATTTTCAGGGCCCTCAATCCGTTCATATTTGGCTTGATCTGTTTTCATGACCTCGTGCATCTTGTCCCTGGATATCATCGAGAAGATTGACGGATTCTCTGCGCATACTCGTACCATGAACCAAGTCAAAATTGACATATTAGAGCTTGTCTGCAAGGTCCTTTCGCTCAATTATCTCAATAATCTTGGTAAGTTGAGCCATGTGGAGGTCTTGCTGTGAGGCAATCACGTAAATCATCTTGTCATACGATAACCTTCTGACCTACCTTTACGTTATCCGGGTCCCGGAGACAGACGATAGTCGGAGCCGTAGCTGTCCCCGTTCTCAAGAATGGATTGCAACGCAATGTGGGCGAGTGAGTCTGTCTGGAAGTATAACTGGACGTATGGGCCGCCGATGAGTGATTTTTCGATTAGGGGTGATTTGGGTGACCGCAGAGGGAGAGTTACTATGTGTGTGTTAAGCAGGGTGGAGGCATGGATAGGGTAGGTTCCGGTTACGTTCTCGCGGATTAGCTGGACGAGTGCTTGAAGAGTCTTGTCTTTTACCCTGGGGGCGGGGATGAGGAGAATTAGGTCGTCTTTGTCTGGGATCGGGGGCCGCTGGAGGGTGTTGTAGGTGAGGGAAGGATCTATGTCCACGAGAGGTCCGATGTGGGTTGAGACGTGAGTACGGTTTATGTGGAGTAGGTTGAGGGTTGAGGACAGGATCAATAAGGTCGCTCGATCTGTCTGATTAATCTTATCAAAGATGGTTGATTTGATAGGGCTTGCATGTTGGTTGTAGATTCCATCGTCTTAGCTACTTGCTAATTAAGGATACAGATGGACATAGATTGAACAATGTCAGGTATAGGTCTTCTCGGGTTAGTGATGAATGAGTCAGTTGGAGCTTTAGGCATCAACAAAACCGTGAGGAGTCATTCAATGGTTCCTGGTTGTACTACAGGAGGTATTTCAACAGCTACTCGTAGAGTAGGATGGTCGCTGGATTGAGTAAAAGCGCTGTTCCTAGCGAGAGTCTAGGAAACAAACGAGACAAAATATAAGAAAAGAAAAACCAGAGAAGATGAATATGACCTAGCTTAAGCCAGGTTGTTTCACAAATAGTCAAATTGATATTCCCTTGTACTGATTGATTTCTGGAGAGTGTTGCAGGGTGAAGTTGGCATATTGCATTGCTACTAAATATCATTAACTACATAGGTATTAGCTATACAACATCAGCCCTACAAACCGAACTCTATCAAGCAAACTCTTGTGACTTAACACTTAAAAAGATGTTTTATTTTCTTTGAAGTAGAAACATCTACTCTTTATACTATAATACTACCTACTATAGACTGTCTAGAAGCATCAGAGCTCTTAAATATAACTTGAGATAATTATTTAATACTATGTACTTTTTTAACTAGAAATGACAGTAATTAGTTAATTAAATAAAAAATGGTTTAGTTTAGAAATTGTAGTAGCGGAAATTCCATGGAGCTGTAAGATATAGGGAGTAGATCCTTAATGGTTAATCTGCATTGATAAAGATGAAAACGCGGCTTTCTGTCGGGCCGAGAATGGCCAGAGAAAGATTTCGTAGTTGGAATATAGTAAGTGTGTAGTAGTAAAGAATAAATAGAATGTTGTTGAAGAATTGCATAGTAGTGCGGAGACCCGTGATCAAATGGAAGCTTCCTGAAGCTTTGTTCAACCTCCTCCAATTCTTCCCTCTCCCCCTCAATCACACCCTTCTCTGACTACTATTTACTCTTGCTCACGATACTCCTCTACAACTGATTTCTTTCCTTGATCCACTTTTCTAACCTAATACCCTTCCCCATCCGTCTTTCATACTGCTCACCATGGCTGAAGCTCAACGTGCGTTTTTTTGCTCTTTTCCTCCGCTCTGGGGTTCCGCCCTCGCATCGCAAACCGATTACTGATCGCATATGAATTTCAGGTCGTCCTCGTGTCTTCTTTGACATTCAGATTGGCAATGAAAAGACCGGACGTATTGCCCTGGAATTGGTACGTAAACTATATTACTTCCGCGTCTCTTATGGTTGTACAGCAGCTTTTGCTAACTACCCCGCCTTTTCTCAGTACAACGATGGTCAGACCTAGTGCCAACGGAGATTTTCTGATTTTACTTATTTCACGCTACACAAATACTGACCATTTGCAGTCGTTCCTAAGACCGCAGAAAATTTCCGTGCTCTCTGTACCGGAGAGAAGGGTGTAGGAAAGCAGGGCAAGCCATTGCATTTCAAGGGTACGGCGCGCGTAACCCCGCTCCTGCATCCTGTGGCGCATAAGTGCTAACTCTTCCCCCTCCGCTGTGTAGGTTCGATTTTCCACCGTGTGATCAAGCAATTCATGATCCAGGGTGGTGACTTCACCGCATTCAACGGCACTGGCGGCGAGTCGATTTACGGCGAGAAGTTCCCCGACGAGAACTTCGACCTCAAGCATGACAAACCTTTCCTCCTCTCCATGGCCAATTCCGGCCCCGGCACCAACGGGAGTCAGTTTTTCATTACTACCGTCCCCACCCCTCATTTGGATAGCAAACACGTTGTTTTCGGTGAGGTGATCAACGGAAAGAGCATCGTTCGCAAGATCGAGAACATGAACACCCAGGCAGATAAGCCCGTCAAGGACGTGACCATCGTCGAGTGCGGTGAGCTCACAGGTCAGGCCTACGAAGACGCCGACAAGCAAATCCCTGATGCTACCGGCGACCCTTACGAGGACTTCCCCGATGACCACCAGGGTGAGGAGCTGAATGCCCAGGTCTGCTACAAGATTGCGTCGGAATTGAAGAACTTCGGAAACGCTGCCTTCAAGAGCGGCAACGTCGCTCTCGGTCTGGAGAAGTATCAGAAGGGTCTGCGCTACTTGCATGAGTTCCCTGAGCCTGATGAGAACGACCCCAAGGAGCTTGACGGCCAGATCAAGACTCTCCGCTTCACCCTTCACTCCAACTCGTCTCTCCTGGCCAACAAGCTCGCACAGTACAAGAACGGGCAAACCTGGGCTACTTACGCCTTGGATACTGCCGAGGCAGCCAACGCTGCAGATACCGACAAGGCCAAGGCCTACTACCGCCGCGCCGTGGCCTACGGCGGCCTGAAGGAAGAAGATGCAGCTTTGAAGGATCTCCAGGAAGCCGAAAAGCTGCACCCCGGCGACAACGGCATTATCAACGAAATCGCCAAGGTCAAGAAGGCCATCAAGGATCGCCAGGCCAAGGAACGCGCCACTGCACAAAGGTTCTTTTCATAAGTGAGATAATGCCATGCGTTCATGATTCATGAATGTTTCTACTACCAACCAACTACTCTACACTTTCCATTCGCATAAAAGCGACATCCCAATTGCGCCGTCTAGATAGTCGCCTTGTTCGCGTATTCAGTTCTTTTCTCTCTTCTCCATACTTTCTGACCTCGTTCCTAAACATTCGGGCATTCGGTAGCGTGGTGAAATCGGCGCATTGATTTGCTACTTCCTAAGTTCTTTACCGGCGGATGTCACTCGCGTAGCGATTCATATCCATCAGTTTATATAGACTAGGAAAACTTGGGAATAAAAGGACGGGCAATGAACAGAGTCATAAAGCACGCTTGTTGAAACAAATGCGAATGTCTGGTATCTCTTGAGGCATAGGGGAGCATCAAATGTGCCACCTAAATATACCCAGCCAAACTAGGGTAAACACAAGACAAGATGAAAGAGCTTCTATACCCAGATCCTTAGATATATCAAGACCGACGTCCCGTCTCCGCCAAAAACTTCTCGTATCGCGCCTTGCCCCGCCGGCGCCAGCTCTTTCCCCAGATGAGCATCGGCACGCCCATCACCATAGAGAGAACCACGCAGATACCATAAAAGGTAAAAGCCCAGCCGTAATTCGTAGCATTAATGAAGTGTTGCACCGTGAAGGAGATGGCAAAGTTGATAACAGAAGAGCATATAGCCAGTACGATGACGAGCTCACCGGAAATCTAGAGCGGTACGTCAGTTTACAAAACCCATTATAGCTGGTGAACGCCCGCCGAACCATACCTGGTCAAAGCATTCCATAGCATAAGCTGTCGCGATGCTAGTCGCCGAGACCTGGTGGGCTATCATGCAGCATAGCCCGACACCGATGGTCATCCAGTGGGCTCCGGCCGTCGCACCCCAGCCGTAGATGAAGTAGCCCAGAGCGGCGAAGATGAGCGGAAAGACGTACGCCCAGAGTCGCATTTCCGGTTCTTTGTAGCCCTTGTTGCGGCGAGCCAGGAAGAGGACGAGCCAGTCGGAGAGGGATCCGATGCTCATTCTATGCACATATATACTGTGAGTTTTTCTGGTTCTGGGGAGAGGTTAAAGGAAGGGATTGACTCACCCAAAGAAACTGCCGATAAGAGCAGCGAGAAATAATAGGCCGGTGGAGCCATTGCTCCAGTTGTAAGGCGCTTCCGTCATGATCTCTGAAATGGTATTGAAGGAAACGATCCCTGCCGTGCAACCGAACGCGAATTGGATGCCGGCTAGGACGATGTTGGGAAAGGCGAAGAGGTAGAATGGTCGTCGGAAATACTGAAACCATGTTGTCTGGTCGTCGTTGAAGTAGTGCACCAGAGCGATCTTCTGAATGTATGCCCGGGGTGGCATGTCTATTTCACCTGCGCTGTGGCTTGGGGTGACTGACAGATGTGATTCGTCTTGTTGGCGCTTGTCGGACTGCATTCCGGGTGCAGTCTCGTAGGTTTGCTCACTCTTCAGGGTTTCCGAGGGTGGTGTTGCTGCGAAACGGTACCGTGGGAACATGGTGTCATCGAAAGTAAAAATGAATAACAGGATCAAGACCCCCTTGGGCACTGTTAGCGAGGAAATGGGTGATGATTGGGAAGTGAGTTAGACCTACACACGCAATTGCAACAATGGGCATACTCCATCTCCAGCCTATGCCGTCGGATATGTACCCACCCAAGATGAGTCCAAGTATCGACCCCAACTGCTGGAAGAAAATGTAGATGGCGATCATTCGGCCACGTTCGTGAGCGAAGAATGTATCGAAAATCTTTGAGCGATTAGCAAAAGCAAATGATTCAAGACGAGAAGTGAGACAAACCGTGAGCTGGATGAGGGCCTGGTACGCAGCTGTACCCATTCCACTGATACACAGCATAAGGTAGTATTGAGTAGTCCCAGTATAAAACGCGCCCCAGATACCAGTCGCCCCGACGAATATCAGACTTAAGATATAGACAATCTTGCGTCCAAACTTCATCGCCGTCGGAATCCAGATAACGTTGAAGAAGCCAAGCATGAGATAGTTGAGAGCAGAGCCGCCATTCATGTTCTCGAGAGTAACGCCGGTCTCAGCGGAGATTGTTGTCCATGACGCACCCCAGTTGTTTTCTCCAAAGGAGTTAACACAGGCATAAGCTGAGATGAGACATAGTGTCCAGTACTTTTTGTACTTTGGCCAATTCTATAAAGAATCAGTGCCTGATAAGCTAGTAAAAGGTTCTACCCTTACAAGAGGATCAGCTGCTGAGCATGATGGCTGAGGGATTAGTAGAATGTCCTGCTTTCCTGCATGTGCAGCATCTCTCAAGCTCCTAGAGGCTACATGGATGGTTAGTATACCTCTAGAGCTGTTGCTGATATATAAACGCACCGTCAACCAGGTAAACGGTCCCTGGGACATCAGTGAGGATGTCATCAGAGGGGCCCATGCTGACTTTGTGATTTCTCAAGAGAAGTATGACCAGATATATGCTCTGAGGATGTCTAACTTCTTTTAAATGCTGTTTCGGAGGCGAACTTACAGGGTGTCTTTGAGGGGAAGAGTAGTAACAGCCCGCTCATGCTACGCTGGGGCTCCCATCATTGGACGAGCTCGCCGAACCATGATACGAAGCTTTTCTAGCAATCCAAGTTCAGTCTGGAATGTGGAGGATTATCCGGTTTGACATATGCCATATCCTTTCCCCACATGGTATACCCCGAGGTCTGAGATAATACATCTGGACGAATGCTTAGCGATAGCCTGAATTGATAGGCGTACAGCCCATAGGAGGAAGAAGGAACACGATAAGTGATCAACGTGAAGGAAGCTCCAAACGACTGGTTATGATGCACCGGGCATTAGATACTACTTGGGAAGGGACCTGGTGGGGAGAATCCTGCGGTCCACAATTGGTTGGATATCTAAACTCTTGCCACAAGCGGCAGAATGCGGAGGCAGTCATGTGGGCGTTGGACTGTTCAAACGAGGGTTATCTATGATCTTCTGAGAATATGAATATGGATCCATTGATAGACGACGATAGTGAAAATGCGGAGAAGATACTACAGCTTAAAGTAAAGGAAGGTCCAAGCGGATGATATCAGTCTAACCCTAATCAGGTGATTGTTCAACCACCAGCGTCCAATCAAACGATAGATTTTGGATAGCTCTCCCTGCATCATGGATCTTGTTCCTCCTTCACTGATCTCCAGGTCGATATTGATAAGGGTCACTTAACCAATTTTCGCTTCAACAAGTGGCCCAGGCCATACCCATTACAAGCCGGGTTAGACAGCCAACATCTCGGCTTGATTTTAATGGCATGATCGGTTATCCTATATAAAAAGTTCTATGGTACTTCCTCTGTGCCTTCTGAAATTCTTTCCTTCTGACAACGATTTATACTGTTAAAGCCTAGTCATTCAGCGGTGCTGATAACCCACAATGGCATCCAACCTAAATCCCAACTCTTCTATCCTCATTGTTGGGGCTGGGACATGGGGTTGTTCCACTGCTCTACATCTTGCCCGCCGAGGGTACAAAAACGTTACAGTTTTAGACCCGCACCCAGTTCCCTCACCCATTGCAGCCGGTAATGATATTAATAAGATTATGGAGCACAAAGAGGTAAAAGGTACGAATAACTTGTGACTCAGAACAACTGACAGTCGCTCACCTGACGGAAAAAAAATAAACAGGCTCTGAAACGGATCCTTGGAGTATCGCCTTCTCAACGTGCACACGAGCTGCATTGAAGGGCTGGAAAACAGATCATGTATTCCAGCCATACTTCCATGAAACAGGGGCAATCGTGTCTGGTCACACACCCTCTCTGATTAAACACATACAAGAGCACGAGATCGATTCGTCAGACGCAGAATTCATCAAACTCGAGACCGCAGAGGACTTCCGCAAGACTATGCCTCCGGGAATCCTTACCGGCAACTTTCCTGGCTGGAAGGGTTGGCTGAACAAGACCGGTGCTGGATGGATTCACGCCAAGAAAGCCATGGTTTCTGCGTACACCGAGGCGAAGCGTTTGGGAGTCAGATTTATCACCGGTTCGCCGGAAGGAAATGTTGTATCTCTGATTTACGAAAATGGAGATGTAGTCGGGGCTAAAACTGCCGACGGTGCCGCCCACCGAGCAGAACATACTATTCTCTCTGCAGGTGCTGGGAGTGATCGTCTTCTGGACTTCGAGAAGCAGCTTCGCCCCACTGCATGGACGCTCTGCCACATTAAAATGACACCCGAGGAAGCAATCAAATACCGGGGCCTTCCTGTGTTGTTCAATATCGCCAAGGGCTTCTTTATGGAGCCCGATGAGGATAAGCATGAACTCAAGATCTGCGACGAGCACCCCGGATACTGCAACTTCGTCTCCGATCCTGAGCATGGTGGCGAGGTGCGCAGTATCCCGTTCGCAAAGCATCAGATTCCTCTTGAAGCCGAGGCCCGTGCAAGAGACTTCCTCCGTGATACAATGCCCCATCTTGCGGACCGACCGCTGTCGTTTGCCCGTATCTGTTGGGATGCGGATACTGTGGACCGTGCGTTCTTGATTGATAGACATCCCAAGCATCGCTCGTTGCTGCTTGCAGTCGGTGGATCTGGGAACGGAGCCATGCAAATGCCTACCATCGGCGGATTCATCGTAGACGCTCTGGAGGGGAATCTGCAAAAGGAGCTAAATCATGCACTACGGTGGAGACCTGAGATAGCGGCGCACCGGGACTGGAAGGATACCCAAAACCGCTTTGGAGGACCGAACAAAATAATGGACTTCCAGAAGCTTGGAGAGGATGAATGGACTAGAATTGTCGTCAAGAGCCGGCTCTAAAAGCAAAGAAAATCCGAGTTATTTATTCTAGCCTCATTTGTCAGTCATTACACTACAGTCCCCACTTGTGAAAGTATAGATCGTGCGTATGCTGGTGAGCCTCTTTTCTCTCCCTAATTATGCACGTAGGGAAAACATGAGTAGATCATTTTATCAAGAGAGCAACTATACTCTACACAAATCAAAGGAAGTACTAATAGAGATTACCATTCGAGAGGGATATTGTGACTCAAAAGAATTCATATAACAGACTTAGAAGCCCTCCAAACCCCAAACCATCTCAAAATAGAGTCCTCCCCGCCTTAACAGTACGCAGCAAGCCCGCATCAGCCAACCTCTCAATCATATTAAAGAGCACAAAATCACACCCCCGTTTAACCACGAGATTCATAGATACCGGCATCATCTCCGTTTTCAAAGTAACCGCCGACTTATACGGAACTTCCCCAATGGGAATCGTATAATCAGCACACCCAAAAATCGGACAAATAGAAGCACCCAAGATAGCGGCATCATCCGCCTTCTTATAGACATACGTCGTATTAGGTAACTTGTTCAAGACGTCTTCTCGGTATGAGGGAAACCCGCCTGGCCCGATATCATAGACCAGCAGTGACTCCGAGCACGACTCATTGGTAGAAAACAGAACGGACTCCTCGAACCAAGTAACTGCCTTTGCTCGAGACTCGAGAGCCTCCTGGAAATCTTCTTCTTTGACTGGGTCGGTCAGGAACCTTTGCCACTGGTCGCGGTGGGTAGGGTCTAAGGGAGGGAATCGACCATCGGATAGTCTGGTCCAAGCGTTGATGAGAGGCTTGCCGATAATGCGCCATTGGTCCCAGGTCCAGATGGTAATCATGGTTTTGTCCTCCAGCATGATGGGCACTGCTGGCTCGGGGGCGGACTGGGCTACTGCGGTGAAGTTGATTGTCTCTGTGGTCATGTTGAATAGCTGGGTGAGGTTCGATATGAAGGATTGCCAGATGGGTTCTGTGGCTGCTTGATTTTGTGGACTGAATTCGCTGAGATATACTAGTCGTTTGGGGAATTGATTGGTGTTAGGGACGTCGTAGGCAGGCAGGCCAGTCAAGGTTGAGTTCTGCTGCATGGTTGTTGTATACCAGGCTTTGGAGAAATGGGCCCACTTCTTTGGATCCCTGGTGAAAACGCCGGTAGTATCGCTGGGATGGCTAGATCGAGCGACATCATACCTTGGCTGGGGCGCTGTCTTTAAGAGGCGACAAGTTAGAATTGAGGTTGGGTTGCAGGATCAATCGCTCTAAGAATAGAGAGGGATGCCCTTACCCGTATACACCAGATACGGCAGCTGGTAAACGCATAGAAGAGCCAGTGTCTGTACCGATTGCAAAGTCTAGCCACTCGTACGCTGCGATTGAGCAACCGCCACCGGAGGATGATGCACTGCAAGTCAACCACCCGTCCCCACGTGGGTTGAAAGGGTAGTGCTTCCGACGTCAGTCATATATATATGGTAGACCCAAAAATGAAGTACATACCTCATCTTGCCATAACCAAGGGTCGGCTGCTGAGGCAAATTGAGCTAGTTTCTGCTTACCAACAATATGGCCCCCTAGATCAATCTTCTCTCTGTTAGCTCAAAGTATTATATCCAGCACTGGCTGCGTTGTAAAGTAGAAGTATTTGGAAATCTGTACGTACAATTCGCTGGATAGCTGGCGCGGTGACATTCGCAAAAGGAGTGATGTGTGTCCATGCCTTACTTCCGCCTGTGGTTTGAAGGCCCTTAACGTCAAATAGATCCTTGACTCCTACTCTTGCTCCAGCTAGCGGGCGAGGGTCCCTCCAGCTGTAGATTCGCGAAGGTACTCTATGAACACATCAGTAACTGGACCAACCATACTAAACCCAGCTCGAATAACTTACGGAATCAGAGGCTGTTCGAAGAATTTAGTATTCTGAGCGCCAACGGCGCGATAGATGCCGCTACCATCCCCGGGATCATACGAACCCTGCAGAAACACACTGTAGAGGTCCGAATATAGCCGCCAGACAGGATACAGGTAGAATGCGTTTTCCTTCAGAGCTGCCACGAAAGGTCCCTCAACATGCTGATTTTGCGACTCTGGGACAATAGTCACTGTGCCGATGGAGGCACCTGATGGAATGGTAACTTTGGGAGGAACAAATATTGTCGACACGTTCAAACTTCGCAAGTAGTCTATAGCTTGCTTCTCAATAACCCCTTCGGTCGCGGTTTGGAGGAGAACGGCTTCAAGAAAGGCGAGGTTAAAGACGTCATCTTGGTCTATATAGTCCTGGATAGTTCTTTTGATATCATCTTCCGTCACCTTTGAAGTATTGACACTCACTGCGGTCAAGGGTGTCCACAAAGGTCGCTCCGATGGACCCCAGCTGCCATAATACACAGCCTTCGGATGTTGCACATTACTGAGGTAGACGGTGTTGTTGTGGAGTTCGAAAATGATCTCCTGGGAATCAATAGATGCGAAGCTCTGGTGAAATGGCTGAGGGAGCCGTGCAGAAGTCACTTTGCCTAGGGCTATGAACGTTGATGCAATATTCCATAGCATGGCGAGTCAATCCAATAGGGTGGGTCGTTTCGTGTGGGTGAGGCTGCACCGGTATGACTTGTGATGGCAAGGATTCCCAGCTACCCCTTACTGATTCTTATACGTTAACCTGGTCGAATTTACAACAGATTTATCATTGTCAGTAGATGCCGGTCGTACAACGGTGGATGCCGTAGATTGATCGACAGTGGGGAATACTATATTTGAAAGCCTATGAGGCTCTCGGTAGAGATGGAAGTTCTCGATTTGCATATACTGACGATAGACTTATCCTTATCATCCGAAGTCTACTTTTCTGCAAATGATGATGATGGTGCTGTCTAACGAAGTATCCATTCCATAGCCCATAGGAATACGTATTCCGCACTACTTGGCGCATCCTAGCCAAGAGATAGTATGCTATCAGCTCGGGAAACCCTGAGTTCGATGGAGTTAAGGGTTAAAATACGTGCAGTATTCTTCAGGTAGAATATTGACACTGAGGTATGCCGTCAAGATTGTCAAGGACGAATGATTACTCTTAAAAACAATAATATTCAAATTGATTCCAAGCCGAAATCACCTCAAATTCCAAACTTCCACTTCCTGTGGTAAATCCCGGATATTTCCCTCTACCGATTGCGGGAAGAACACGCTCGGGGCCTTTCGCGCATCAAATTTCCCCGAATGTGTCTTAGGAACTTCTTCTTTGACATCTAGCTTCCGAAGAAGAGTCGGTAATTTGTGTTCAGCAAGTTTCCCTGTCAGATCCGCCCTCAGGCTATGGAGACTAAGAGTCTTCCCTTCTTTGACACGGACTAGGACGGCAGTGCGGTTCATAACTTCCGCATCTGAGACTCCAACTACGTAGGCTTCCGTGATATAGGGTAGTGCCATCAGATTCTCTTCGACTTCCAGGGTGGGAACCCTACGTCCGTCGAAAACCACGACTAAATTCCTTTAGTTAGCCAGGGTGACGATAACTCGTTAGGCTCAGAGCAATACGTACAGTTTTGTGATACGCGACCATCAATGGTGTACTGCTTTCCATCGAAATGACCCAAATCCCCGGTCTTATAGTAGCCCTCTTCATCGAACACAGCGCGCGTCGCCTCCGGGTCTCCGATATATCTAGGACCATAACTCAGCCGTAACCCATTGTAAATTCCAAGAATGTCACTTACCGAGAGAAAACAAGCGGTGTCTTTACACGAATCTCCCCATGGTCCCCTTCAGACAGCTTTATAGAGACCCCCGTAAGAGGAACGCCTATGCTTCTCTAAAGATTTCATCCATTAGCCTCCTTCTGACCTCCACGAACAAGCAAACACTCACCTCACCAATCTCCCCATCCGACAAATGCGATTTAGCCATCATAATGCTCGTCTCCGTAGCAGCATAGTTGACCCCAATCGGCACCCCAAGAACATCACCCCAGAACCGCTTCACAGCAGGCGTAAGCAGGTTCGAATCCGATTTCGCCAACCGAAGCCCCCTCGCCCCATTAACGTATTCCTCCAACACCGCCGCCGGCAAACCAGCCAAATTCTCTTCATAATACCGCTTCATCTGCGTCCACATCGCAGCCCAGCAGATTAGGAACCGCACATCTCCCTTCCTCAACCTCTCCCACATACCACTGGGAGTGGCATCAAGGTTATAGATCTCGGTGCAAACGCCCGCCAAAATAGCCGCCGTGGCGTTTCGAATACCCCCGCCCCAATGGAACGAGCGGTAGGAGAGATACACGGCATCAGGGCCGAGCATATGTTCCAGATTGTTCGCTTCGCCCATCGGGCAGCCGAAGTAGACTTCCACCTGGTGGTGGAAGAATCGACGGGCATGTTCGACGCCTTTAGGGGTGCCGGTTGTACCTGAGGTGAATTGGACGAGGGCCGGGCGCTCTGTGGGGAAACTGATATCGTTTTCGATGGCGATGCGGGGGTTGATGCTGCTGTTGTCGTTTTCGTTCAGTGTGATGGCGATGGGGAGTATGTCCATGTCTAATTTCGCTTTTGCGTGGTTTCGGGTCGCCTCGATGAGCATTCGGTGCTCGGGGGCGAATGCGATGGCCTGGGCGTTGCATTTGTGGGCCAGGGTTGTGATTTCCTCTGGGGGGGTATTGGGTGCTAGATTGCATAGAGTCGTAGTTAGAAGGGTTGGAGAGATGTAGGTGTTGTCGGTAAGGCAACGTACATAGTAGAACTGCCGCGCCGCCAACTGCAAATATGGCGAAGAGAGCTACGAGGAATTGATAGCTCGAGGGTGCGGAGAGGCAGATGTAGGTGTTATTATCATTGATCATTCCATTGTCGTCTAGGACAACCGGTGGGAGGACACTGGAGATCTGATGACGGAAATGCAGGATATCTCTAAGGAATCGGACATAGTCTGCTTCGATATTCTGGCGTGGATCGCGGATGATGGCTTTGTTAGCTTGGGCTGCGGCGTGCACTAGGTGGGCAAATACAGGGTCGTTGGGAAACCCTTTGGCTGGGAGGGGAGTACGGAGGGGGCTCATGATTGCTCTGCGGCTATGAGTATGCACCTTAAAGGTACGCTAGTTATGTGTATGGTGAAGAATAAGCTATGTGCCAGGATACTATGACATTGAAGCTGCAGGATGAAGCCGTATGGCACTAATGACTCTAATAGAATATGGACCAAAACAGGCCGGAATCAGTTCCCTTCCCCAAACATCCTACGGGTCTAGCGTCAGAATATTACGATATGCGAAGTATCAACCGGGTAGGAGAAGTGCATTACTACCGTTGCATCCTTCTCTGTAGATACTGAACGCTAGAGGTCCACGTACATGTATAGACCCATGGTTCCTTTGAACACATCTCCTAAGTGTGGAATCTCGGATGCATCGGCTAAATATCACCGCAAATTAAGGAGTAATATGAGAATGTATGCAACTATGCTCAGTATCGGAATGGACGTGGTGTAAAGGGACAGCGTGGACTGGGACCTGTCTGAATGACCAAAGGGATAAAGGGCTCGGTTAAAAGAGATGTCATTGTGTCTCAGAATGCATTGGGAAGGTCTGCTCCACCCAAAATTGCACTTAATATCGCAAGTATGCATCCCAATCGAGACACTGGTAGCATGCCATTGAAAGCGGGCGCATTGAACTCGAGCATTCCTCAATGAACACAAACAAGCTGAGCTATCAATTCTGATTCCGATCTTCTTTTTCAACGGATCCACATTATGTTGAAGAACATAGGCGAGATGGTATGATCCAATTATTCAATTAGGGTATGCGGTTATTTGCATGGTTGCAGAGGAATCGCTCCGCGTGAAGGCCAATCAGAGCCTTGATATAGGCGAATTCGATGCTATCTCTTAAGCTTACTACGTGACTGTGTTGCCTGTTGCAGTGGGGATCTACATGGCCGTGAGATCATGCCTGAGGTAGGGCAATCGAGGTACCCCTTTGTAGTATTGATCTACCGGAGAGCGTTCTTGAATAATCCAAGCAGTCTATGGATTCTCTTGCGCCTTTTTGCTGCGGCCCTTGGGACTTAATAGCTTCTTACACGACGTATGTAATCTGAAATTAAGTAGAGATACTGTGCTGACAACTTGTTAGATCGTTGCAATGCTCTTCAAAAACATGAGAGAACTACCAAGATTTGTTTAGAATATAACTTTAATGCTCTTTCGACAGGATTCAAGGGAGACAGATTCCTACTGTGCGAACCCGCAACTTTGAATCTGTGAACTGGGCTTTCGGGCCATCCCGTCTGTCTAATTAGGGTTGACGCCGTAAAGGCTTATACCGGGGTCCTCTAATATATACGGAAGAGAAACTTGCAAGGACTAGTTCCTAACTTCGAGCTTCGTCCAGTCAGGCTGATACCGACACATAATGCCCTTAGGATCCCACTCCTCACATATCTCTATCAAGCGTCTGGTATTGTCACTGGCCCAGTAACGCGCATTCTCCTTTTGAAGGTCCGAATCTCCTAGATACGTACCTACCGAATGATTATCAATATCTTTCATGACCTTCCGCACCCAGGACTGGCATGTCTTATCATCCTTGGCATCATCCCACACTGTATAAATTGCGAAATAATGATCAGACCGCATACTCAATGCCATGTCAGGTAGCTCGCGTCTGCTCCATGGGTTCATAGCGGTCCAGAATGCGAACGATTTCCCACGAGGGAGTTCCAAAAAAGCTTCTTCTAACACCGAAACCACATCGGCATCATTGTGGATGTATGCGTTATCCGTATGGTACCGATGTCCCTTTGGGTTTGCTTTTGCCTGTTTCACATACAGATTCCCTAGACTATCTTCTCGGCAATACCACTCACTAAGCGATCCCGAAGGTCGGGATTTGTGTGTGTGTATAGGGCGTAGAGCTGCTTCAGCCTCCTCGGCCGTTGCCTTCATAGAGACGAAATGGATAGAGACACATACTTCTTCTTGGTCTTCGGGATAACGGGTGCATACTGTGATCTCGGTGTCATTGTCTAACGTAGGGGCCATCTCAAGTACCCAGGAAAATGCGTCTCGGTAGCAACTGCGCGGATAAATGTAACCCGATGATCGGAACCCATTTCTCGGGTATGGCATTAATCGCAGGTGAAATTTGGTCACGACTCCAGGAAATGCTTGATTGCGTCCTTTCGTCAGACAGACAACTTTGGTATAAAGGAGAGGAGTTGAGGAGAAATTGCTCTACCTGGTCCCGCGCCTCGAGCGGCCCAATATAGCTCAGCATTCTGTTGGGCGTTGCAAACGAGCAACTGTCCTTGCACGGTAACTACCTCTACTGCTTCGACGCTTTCACACGCCCAGCCCCAATTCTGAGAGGGAAAACAGACATTAGGAATAAGTTTCTCAAGGATCAGTTGAAGAAGCACGAACTACAAATATCACAAGGAAAAGGAAGAGGAGACAACGTACCCGACAATTCCAACCCATTCCACCTTGCAGTAAGAACCCACCGAGACCAACGTCGGGGCAATGACCCCCGTGGAACATCAACCCATGCTTATCGATTAGAAAGTCATTGAGCTCTTTGCTTGTAATACTAGGTGAAACCTTTGCAGTACGAGTTCCTTGGTCGACTTCCAATACCCTAAAGGCACCTAGGTCAAGCAGAATGGAATGGTCATGAACACTCCACACAGGAAAGGAATGTCCGCCAGCCCGAACAGCAATACGGTAATTCCGCTGCACTGCTAGCCTGATTGCAGTGATTATATCACTCTCATTGGTTGGCTTCACTACCGCTCGTGGAAACCGATCAGGGCAACGTCTGTTGAAGACCCGACTGAGACGTGCAGTTTCGTAGGCTACTACGTCTGCAGACTCCCGCCAGAGTATATGCATTGGGCTTTCATGAGACATACACTTGAATGGGTTGAGGTGTCTGATACAGCTTTCCTGCGAATCGGCCGAGGATGGCAGGGGTCAATGCGCGGTGATATGCTGGTGACGGGCCAGAAAGGTAAATGATTGTCTTGGAATTCAAGGTGAATTACGGAGATGCTTTAACTTCATCCTGAGAGTGTGAGCTCCCAAGCAAGGGATGATATACTTAAAACTTTATAGAGAGTCGGAAGGGATTTCTCACAGGTGTCAGCCAGCCAAGGGCTCCCTTGCAGGAAATGAAAATTCAGCGACACGGAAACAATTATTACCAATTCCGGTCCGGGCTGTTATAGGAGAGGACGTGTGCAGAAGATTTCTTTTCCTTGGCTAGGATATAGGTAAGTTGTGAACAGAAGAAGACTAGATTGTATAGAATATTCAGCATACGTAGTTGTTGAAATAAAGCTTGACAACTCCAAGATGATATTGCGTGAAAGTGACCTTGATCGCGCAATCAGGATCGACCTATACTGACAGATGAGTCTCCGAATAGATCTTACCTGCTACTCAAAAGATGTACTGCGAGTCTATCGCCCTTGAATAGTTCCGGGTCAAAATTGGTTGGCTCAGTGTAACCCTAACAGCAGCCAGCCTACGAGAATGAACCACCTAGAAGACCCGGAAATCCTTCTTGGTAAGCTGGCTCCCTTTTGAAGCTGACAGATTCACTGGGAAGCATTCCTGGGCTGTGGGTCAAAACAAGAATGTAACCCAACACACCACTGAATGAACTGTTGGGAATGTCATGACGGATATAGTAATCTTAATAAGAAAGTAAGAATAATTCCACAATTTCAACCGCCTCTAAAGTTCCAGTCTATTCTTTCTTTCTACTGTCTCTAGGAGTAATTCCGGCATCCAACCCCCATCCTCCAAAGGGGGGTTCATTACAGGCCTTCTTACTACACTGAAACTGGCAGTGCAGATTTCAACGACCCACATTAGAAGTGCTTTAAGGGCAAGGGTCTGCTACTGTTACTCGCGGAATGTCCAGCGTAGAAACTAACCAAGGTCGTCATTACGGAATTGGCAACCAGTGCATAATCATGTCTATGAAAAGAAAGCCTTCCAGATAATGTCTACATCATATTGCAGGGCCTACGACAGGTGCTCTGGACATTTCTGCCTATCTTCTTGCCTTTTCTAGGGACATTTAGCCGTGAAGGCAAGACAGGCACCTTTTGACATACCTTGAACGGTCTTCTAAGTCGTCACTCCCAATGACTTCCGGAATGAAAGACATAGTTAATCTTCCGGTCTATTGGGCCGCGCTTCCACTCTTACTCCTGGCAACGTTTCTTGTCAACGTAAGTTAACCCAGCACCCTTTGGCGTTGAATGTTACAGTTGCGTTGTCTAAAGTCCCCAACTAAGAGACAATAGACCATAATCCAACGTGGGAGCGCTCCTCTGTCAGCTCTCCCAGGACCATTGGCCTCAAAGTTTACAGACATTATTCTGAAGTACCACTGGCTTACAGGCAACAGAGCCAAGTACGTCCACTCATTGCACGAAAAATATGGTTAGTGAGCTATTAAGCTCCTCTAAACAAGCTTTTCAATGCGAAATAGAAGGAGGACATCGAGCTAAACGTGGAGAAATAGGCCCAGTAGTTCGTGTCAGCCCGAATGAGGTCGACATCAGCAGTTATGCTGCCGCAAAGGAGGTTCATAGTATCGGAAGCCCCTTCGTCAAGTCAGAGTTCTACCGCCATCTGACTCGATATGACGTCCAGAATTTGTTCAACACAGGTGATCCTAAGTTCCACAGCGAGCGACGACGACTGCTCGCATCACCCATGTCCAACTCTTCAATAAAGCTCATGGAGCATTCGATTGATGCACGTGTGCGCCTTGCTATTAGAAGGATAGAGGAAGAGATGGAGACGCGTCGTGCGGTGGATGTGTACAAGTGGTGGCTGTTTATGTCCACCGATGTTATTGGGGAACTGTGTTTTGGGGATTCTTTTCGGATGTTGGAGCATGGAAAGGTGAGTATCTTGCCCCTCTACTTTGGAAGAAATGCGATTGACGTATAGTAGAAAACCCAATATTCCAGGGACCTCGAGTCCGTGTCCGCCATGGAAGCAGTTAGGGTTGCCTTCCCAGGTATGGTCAGCCTGGCGAGTGTGGTTCCTTTCCCAGTTTTCCGCAAATCTGCTGAAGCGGGTCAACGCATGGAGGAATATGCAACCGAGTCAGTCCATCGATACAAGAAATTAATGGCCGCTGACCCCAATCCGAAGCCAACACTCTTCACGAGGCTGTTTGGGGCCGGAAAAGAAGGCCTTCCGGACATGGAAATCATCAATGAGGCTATCAGCTTTATCATTGCCGGCAGCGATACAACAGCAACGACCATGACCTATCTGGTATGGGAGGTCTGTCGGAACCTTCATATCAAAAAGTCGTTGGTACTGGAACTAGCCAGTCTTCCGAATGATTTTCAGCATGATGACCTTCGCTCGTTGCCGTACTTGAACCAAGTGATCACAGAGACCTTGCGCCTATACACTGGTGTCCCGTCTGGCTTGCCTCGTGTGTCGCGACAAGCAGCTAATCTAAGCGGGCATTACATTCCCGCTGGTGTGACTGTTACAACTCAGGCGTACAGTCTTCATCGGGATCCTGATGTCTTCACTGATCCAGAGAGGTAAGAGGTCACCGTCATAGCAAAAGAGCATGCAGGGAAACTAATGACACTAGATTCAACCCATCTCGCTGGGAACAACCTACTAAACCTATGGAGGACGCCTTCATGCCTTTCGGTGGTGGTTCTCGTACCTGTATAGGTATGCATTTGGCTAGGGCTGAGCTTCGACTTGCAACTGCCCGCTTTTTTCGGATGTTCCCCAAGGCAGTTGTCTCTACGGAAGAGGGAATGGGTGCAGATGATATGGACCAGGTAGCCTATTTCCTGATGTCACCGAAGGGTAAACGGTGCTTAGTGCAGGCCTGGTAGCAGCCAGCGTAGATAATCTACTAGGATGTCTGGAAGAATCATGGTCTGGTTACGAGCCTATCAATGCTGCACATTTGAGTGCGTTCAACTATATGTATAAGGCCGGGCTACTATTAGATCGGCCATTTTAGGAAGTCAGATGGAGACAATGAAATCCCAACTTAGCATACTCTGAATGTTTAAATCTGCATAGAATACGGCAGGAAGTCTCAACGAATAAGATGGGGAAGAATTCAAAGGTGATGAGTAGTCACCGTTTACAGTATGCAAATGTAGCACTGTCTCTAAAATCTAACTTCTCAAATCATATTGGACGGGTTTCATGTTCCGTGAAGAGATATAGAAGTCTCCACAAGCATGACTAAACTGTACAGCTAGAGTCGTAAGGTTACAGTCAACTGAAAGCAAATCTCCTCGTTTGAAGACGCAAACAGACGGTTCACAATCTTAATGATTGGCCATGAAGCGCCCCTCAATGCCGGAACTGGTACCAGGTATGTGGACAGCTGTCAATGACCATCACATTCTTCAGCAGGGGTTTCTTTCCCACATACCCACGTTGTGGATTGGTATACTATTCTGTATTTTTAGGAAGATTCATCAATTTCCGGCGTCGTTTTTCAGCTAAGCCCTCTGTCGGGCCTTGTGGGGAACGCTGTTGCTTCGGCCGAGTTCATGCTTCTAGAGGAACTATAAGTGACACGATTATCCATCAACACCTACTATCCAGTGCATATTCCACAACACAAGGCTTACAGCAAAGAATCTACAAAAGCAATAATGACATTCACGGAGCCAGATGTTATTGTTGGTGCTCCTCAGGAGGGCGTAGGGCGACTATCGCCCCAGAAATCGGCCTTGAAAGAAGTGATCACCGCCGTCGATGACGATGATTATAAGATCCCGACCAATGCCCTTAAAGCAGGTGTGTTGAAGCCCTTGCCATATAGAATATAACGCTATTGACACAGGATAGAGCTCCCCCTCGCCGGAAAAGCTCTCGACAGGAACGCTAAGTTGACCCGCGAGGTGAAGGTGGCGGCGAGCATGAAAAAGATTCTGGAAGACATAGGAGAAGACCCAAACCGGGAGGGCCTCCTCAAAACTCCCGAACGGTACGCTAGAGCTATGCTCTTCTTTACAAAGGGCTACGAGGAGAGTGCCCTGGATATCGGGAAGAATGCGATCTTCGAGGTAGACCATAACGAGATCGTTCTTGTTCGCGATATTGAAGTCTTCAGCATGTGCGAGCACCATCTTATTCCATTTATGGGCAAGGTAAAGTTAACTGGTCTTCAGAGCTTGTCTTTAGGCTACGAACTGACAATGATATCTAGGTCCATATTGGGTATATCCCCAATGGTCGAGTGCTGGGCTTGTCTAAGCTTGCTCGCATTGCGGAGGTCTATGCACGCAGGCTGCAGATCCAAGAGCGTCTAACACAGCAAATTGCTCAAGCTATTGATGAAATTTTGCAGCCGCAAGGGGTGGCTGTTGTCATGGAATCTGCCCATATGTGCATGGTTATGAGAGGCATCCAGAAGACCACCTCTATGACTACAACAGGTTGTCGGACGGGCATCTTTAAGACGGATAAGGAAGCTGAGGAGCAGTTCAAATTCCTGTTGAACCTGAGGCAATGAAGCTAGGCAGTTAGCCCTGATTATGTCTACATAGAATGTTGAGCTGTGGCTTACAGCCTGCATTCAAAGTTGAGGAATCTATGGCCTACGAGTAGCCACAGAGTGGCTATAATAGAAGTTTCTAATTGGAAAATGATGCAGAGCGAATACCTTGGTAAACCATACATTGTACATTCAAACTTTTAACAAGAAGTTCTCTTGTTTACAGGATCGCATCTTCACGACCTGTAATGTAGCTTCAACCTGCAAACTTCCCCCCTCCAGTAGCTACGTATGTAGGAGTTCCCCATACGTCCGGTAGTACATGTGAATCCATATGCGGTCTCTGAGAAGGTGACCCCCTGCTATTCCACATGACGATCCTACATGATCGGTGGGGCATTGTTGCTACGGTAGGATGACCTGGTCCTGGTCCAAGCTGTTTTCGTATGTCCCTATCGCCACCGGATATCGTTGACAAGGAGAACGTCGAAAGGGTAAATCCGTTACTTATTAAACCAGGTATTCGTTAAGCACTAGATATCGCATCTGGAAGGCTTTTCCTGGTGGGTATCTGCTGTCTCACTACCTAACCCTTGCATACTACTCCACCAACCCGTATGGAGCACCCCCGTTGTTCTGAACCAATGAAGACATGATAGTATATTCTGGCTGTTGAGTCCGAATTCGTCTGGTCTCTGCAATATGTAAATACCGAAGCGTGACATCGGACTGGCGTTCGTCAACTTAGCCGGATTGAAGAACCGAGGACGGAACTCCTTCAACCCAAGATTAACACCTGTTTGCCCACTCCATATGCTCCAAGCCCAGAAATGTGATTCATCCGTTGAACACTTCAGCTTTGCTTTGCCTGTTGCTTCACTCTCACACTTCTTAGCAAACGTCAGCATGGGTGAATTGAAAACCACATTTCAGATCTCCTCTGCGCCGCCGGTTGTAGACAACATCTGTCTTCGCAATGTGCAGCTTCCCTTGCCTTCGGCTCCAGAAGCATGGCACCGTCTAGGCCAGCGGCAACCATGCTCCATGTCGCTCAAGCTCTCATGTTGCTCCATAGTCGCATCTGCTGCAGAGGATGATGTATCCTTGTCTCTGGACTATGGGCAGCTCTATCGACGTATCGAGGAACACGTTCGCCACTGGCCGAATGTGTACGACGGAGCGGCCAAGAGGCTTCCAGCAGTCGGACTTCATGGGGAGCCCATCAGTGGATCTCCAATTGTCGACCATGGACAAGATGTCACTCTTTTGGCGGGAAGAATCGCTGGCCTCGCTCTAGGCTACCTATCTGAGACTGCTCTTGAGATAAACACCAAAAGGGCAGGTACAATCCAGGAAGACTTTGGGGTTTGTGAAATCTTTTTGCATCTTCCGAAAGCCATACTACGTGCCGAACAAGGCCTGTCGTATCGTTGTCTCAGCACGCTGGGACACAGTTCAGACGGAGTTGCTGCCGCAGTTGTGACGGAAGGCGAGTTTCGGATTCAGAACATCCGTTGCCACTGTATTCTCGGCATCAATGTTCATGAGAGGCTTGAGAAGCAGACGGTTATAGTATCGTTGGCCTTTAAGGGGCCTGGCCACCATCAGTGGATGACAGGATTCATGGAGATGTATCAGGAGATGACTAGGATTGTTGCTGAGGTATGCGTTACCTGGGACAAATCTTTGTCGACACGTGAACTGATAATCTTTGGTGTCTAGGAGGTAGATAAGACCACCTTCCAGTCGGTCGAGGCTCTGGTGACTCTCATCGCTCGCATTGCGACGGTGGATTTTGGCAACGAACTGGTCACTGTGCGAGCAGAGAAGCCCAATGCATTGGCATTCTCCGAGGGAACTGGGGTGGAGGTGACTCGCTCCCGGAGCTTTTTCGTTTGATAGGTGTGTTACCCTTGCCAGTCTAATGTCAGTATGCAATATCCTGAACGAGCTGACGGGTCGTGACCGGTAGCTATATAAACTGCCTCGGTGGCTGCCCTGTTTTCTCGTGTCTCATCTACGATGGAATATAGTGCGGGAATATCGAGGAATAAACTATGTTAAGGTATCAAATATTCTACAAAGTTTAGCTCTTTTTTTTTATTTTTTATTTTTTTTTGAAATAGGCTTGTCTGTTAATTGCTCGAGGTATCCAGGAGAGGAGTACACACCCATGTTCATGTGCTTTGTGAATTTTTAATAGTGCCTTATAACAAGTAGATGACGAGCAGCTTATAGCTCACGCTTCTAAATTAAAGCTTATGTCCTGTCTTCCCAATAAGACGTACTTTACATGGTATGAGTCTCTAGGAGCATATTCGAAGAGCATGTTCGAAGCCTACCAACATAAAAGAAGGCCGCATTATCACGTCAGAGGCGGATATGGATCATGTATGACGACATGAACTCAATGCGCCATCGGCATTAGTGTATGAGTGACACATCAGAGGCATCTATGGCAACGAACAGTTGGGCGTTTTCGGTAGGATGGTGGGTAGGACGAATGCAGTAGGAGATATCCATGTTCAGAATCCGCTATAACCCTCATTAAAACAGTGGATCCCTGAAGTACCACAACGTTAATGCCCCACATACAACCTCGAAGCAACATGGCCGGAATTGAGCTTGTACGCATATACCGGCAATCCTTAGGGAAGCATTCCTTTTACTTCCCGGTGGGCCATTGTTGTTTCCATGTAAGCGTCTTTGATTGATAGTGACTGCTACGCTGCTCCACCGAAACAGCTGCCTATGTCAGGGATGAACTATAAGCTATGCTAGAAAGCCATCTCTCAAGAGGCCTATTTGATTATGTTATCTAGATTAGCCTCTGATTGCTCAAGCTGGTTTCGTTTGAGCGAAGGATCTGTAAGGCCTTTGGGAGAGTAAACGACCCCGAAAAGCTTAGCTTAGCCCTTCTTTGCGGCTCTCGTATTTATCCAGTCTTTGCCTAGGCCGAAAGCAAGATACAAAGCTGCCTGTTATTCGAACTGAAAAATGGGTTCCTTGACTTCTTGGAGCACGAACGCCCTCAAGAGGAAACCAAAGGATAAATGGAACGTGAGTAATGTGTTAGACCCCTTTGTCCTAGTTATACTGATGGAAGATGCAAAAGATAGTTTGGAGCCTCTGTGGCAGGCGTTGATCTCAACAATCTTTCGAGCAAGTTCTAGGCCCTTATTCGACAAATCAGATCTGACCTAACAAAATGAACTCCAGCCGATGATGTGAACAGTCTCAGAGAAGCAGTATGGAGGCATAAGGTCATTATTGTAAAAGGTCAACACAACCTCGACCCCAAGAACCAATGGGATCTCATCAGAAGACTTGATCCAGAAACTAAGGACGAAGGGAAAAGCCTAAATGACCATCGGAATGGGCTCCTCTTTGTAAGTAACATCTACCTAACATAAGTGACAAGAATCTAACATAGACAACTTAGCGAGCCAGATGTTTCCCTGGAGCCGGCAACGTCCGACTCTTCGGCAAGGGCTTTCAGGGTGAAGATCACTACGGTATGAAGAATCGCACTATTACTCGATGGCTTAACCACGACTGGCACGTGTCTCCGCCACCCAAGGAGGCCTTCGAAAGCGGGATTACCCGGTTCCAACGGTGGCACTTTGATGCGCCGCTGTATGGAGACGAGCCGACGTGGTTTACATGTCTGTGGATCGCGAAGCAACCTAGCGGGCCAGACCTTACGGTTGAATGGGCTGACGGGTCGGGCCTTACTATGGAGACCCCGCCTGGCCTGACTGCCTTCTTTAGCTCTGTGCAGCTATATGACATGCTGTCGCAGGATGAGAAGGAACTCGTTGATCACAGCTGGGTAGAGTATGCGCCTCATCCATTCAAGTGGATTCATGAGTGTAAGAGCAGGAATACGGGTCTTGGTATTGCCGATGGCGGACACCTAACTGAGGAGGAGTTGGGAGAGTATGACCCGGCTGCGGTCAAGAAGGTAAGCTGTCGCCCTGATACTAACTTAGTTCTTCTGTGTGCTGACGGCGAGATAAACACAGTATCCTATGGTCTGGGTGAACCCTCGGACCGGTGACAAGGCATTCCAGGTCCACGGCATCTGCGTCCGGAGGCTCTACCTGCGCAGCTCGACGAACGAACAGCCTCGTGTCGTTGAAGATATTACTGAGATCCATGACTTCATCTTGGGCATCCAACATCGAATCTTGAAGCCTGAATATATCCTGCTCGCTCCTGCAGAGGAAGGGGATATGGTTATTTGGGATAACTATAGTCTCTTCCATACAGCCATTGATTATCCTGAGAAATACGGACCGAGGTCGATGCATAAGGCAGATACAGGAGGAAGCATTGGTCCAAAGGGTCCTGTCCCAATTGGAATTTGAAAGAAAATAGCCTCTTAGATTTATCCCTAGCTCGCCCCGTGGATTTCCGACACTACGCTACAGCAGTGGAATATAATAGGACAAATGAAGGATTAGCAATCTTTATACCGCAGCCTCGCGTACAATGAGCCACCGCGAACAGTTTGGATCTAGATAGGGCACTGTACTTGTAACGTCCATACAGATGGTTCTCACACAGTAATAGAGGATGCTTTCCCACGGGTAAAACGACCTTTTACGAGGAGGACAACGGTTGAACACGAAAGAACTCCTGTAACATGGCCTGTCATAACATCGACCTTGATCGGGTAGACACTATCTACTTTAGAGAGCACCAGCTGGATGGGACAAGCCATTCTCGTGAGCGCTGTAACTCAACGCTATGCATTCAGACTGGCAGAAGTTTGGCAGCACCGGGGTCTTCTGGATGTGACTACGACGGGATAGCTTGTTAGAGTATATTGGCTATACGTGCATTGACTATAATGGACAAATGGTCTAAACTTTTAGTTAAGGCCACCCAGTACTAAGTCAGCAGAACTAACTAGCATAACCTACAGAAGCAGAAGCTTCACCTGAAGTACGCTACAGTTGCGTTACATTCAGCACCCTATCTTCACAGCAGCGCTACAGACTAGATTCCGCGTCATTAAGAGTTGTATCTATGTAACGTGGGGTATTTCAGCTCTCTGGTTCCAGTTCGAACTACGTCCAGCATGTGTGGAGCCATCCTCTATGGATCTACTGGGACCCAGGAATGGCGACCCATATAACTATTTGGTATTCCGCAAACATCACTAGTAGGGGTGGGGGCCTACTGGTCCCCTCAACCCTTGTGGAGATGAAGTACGCATTTTTGTCTGCAAACACACTCGTTAAGAACTTGGGTATCTGTGTTGCCTAGGGCTAGCGCACCTTTGTGAGATGATGTCGAGTCGTTTCAAGAATATGCTACGAATGTGTCAAGACGATCAAAAGCATTGCACACAGTCGTATAATGGTTTGTATTCACTATTATAAGTATTCCGCACGTATTGGTTGATATACGAAGTTCGAGTGTATGTAGGCTGACAATTGGTACAGTTAGTTATTAACTAACTACGCATATCCACGTATGTAATCATTCGATTTGCCTCTAGAGGATTGTGTAATTCTTCCAATGTTAAACCATACATGAGGGCAGTTTTAGCATTATATGTGAAATTATTTTTAATAATTTTATCACTCTGTTTGGTTCATTAAGCTAGTAGCAAGCGCTCAAGGCCGCTCGGCCCTCTTTCCAGTGCCTCCCGCTTACTTCTTTCTGCCCTGGGGAGCGCGCAACACAATACAATATAGCCAATATCCGAGATGGAGTGTGAAAGGATGCTCTAAAATAACTATGCACCAGGTTTGAGGAAGCCTGTAGCCTTTTCAATCTGACCTATAATCTTGTTCATTTGTTCCTATAGCAAGGTTAGCCAGCAGGATTGCGAAACCATGCAGTGATATGAGACACATACCTCAGCACCGGACCAATTACCGATCCCAATTTGGTCCCTGAGTTGGGGGAAGCCAAGAGAGTGGATGTAATACGATCCGCCAGGAAGTATTAAATTGACAGCGCGCGACCCCAACGTCTTGTCGGGGTCCGCGAAGAACCGCTCAAGAGTAATATACTTGCGATTAACTTCCTTGATATCGTTCAGGACTGATTTCTTCGCTAGCCCTTGGCTGGACTGCACCAAGGACTGACCGTATGCGTCATGTGCTACACATCCCTGATGAAAGTCTTCAAGGGCAGTATATAGGGGACTGAAATCCAGGTCAATTGTAGACGGGGCTTTTGATCTGAGCTCATCCGCCATCTCCTTCAAGGAAACGCCATAGTCAGCAGCCAGGAAGGGGAGTAATAAGGGCTCCGAGAGTGTAGTCGCCAGCGACAGCCAGAGTTTGGTAGTAAATATACTGTATTCTCTGTCTGGGTCCCCAAATCTGTCTATCCAGTCCTCCGAGTCAAACAACGAATGATATGGAAACACCGGCTCTCCCGGCGCATTGGTGAGGCCAAAATCCAACGTCGAAAAGCAGTAGTTATTTTGGAAGGGGTTTGCATCCCCTCCTGAACCCATACCAATAGCCCCGTTCCAATAGTTGACATTGTTCCCTGGAGGAGGCACATCCTCAGAAGCAAGGCGCAAGACGTTCGTCATGAGGGGACTTCCCAAGGCGTGAAATTTAGAGCCTGCTCCTGCAACAACTACGTTCAGGTATCCGACAAGGCTGGAATTCAACCAGGATATATTGTCTTTCAGCCATCCCCGTGAACCTACTGTGCCGATCTCCTCTCCTTCCCAGCTTGCCAACATGATGGTCCTGCGTGGTGCCCACCCTCTGCGTAAAGCGGCTCCGAGGATTCGGGCGATTTCAGACAGCGCGCAAATTCCACTGACTGCATCGCCAGCACCGGGCCCCCAAGCATCGCGGTGCCCCCCTAGGATAATAACTTCATTGGGGAACTCTCGACCGGGTATCTTGCCGATAGTGTTGTGAACGGTCCTTTTAACATACTTTCGGTTGGTGTACAGGTTGAGAGCAATGTTTGGAGGCGAGGGGCCAACATTATATTGGACGCCGTAGGCCTCCAGACCTCCACCTTTCCATCGGTCGCCAAGGTTGTCGGCCACTGGACCATGTCCATTGAGTGCCCTCAATATGGGAATAGCATCTGCGTAAGAGATGGGTATTGCCGGAATGGAGTGTCCATCTCCTGTAAGGCCGTCGTTAGGATCTCGAACGTGATTCCAAGATAGAAGCATGGCTCATAGACAAAAGGAGAGATAGAATGAGAAACTGGTGTAGCTTTCAGGGAAAGGGGCAACATACCAACGCCTGCAGATCCTCTCTCTATCATACTTGGAGGACGAGCTGGTCCATCTGGAAATGGCAAATATCCATTTGCCTCGGTAATATTTCCATCGAGTTGAGGGTCTGTGTATTGGATAAACCCTACTGCTCCCATATCAAATGCAGCACGCATCTGAACCACCCGATTGACTGACACGTTGAAACGCTCCAGGAAAGATGATCCGAAGACGGTCTTCGTAATGATGATCTTTCCCCTAACGCTAACATTAACGCGCGCCAAATCTTCATAGTCTTGCGGCAGACCAAAATTAACATAGACATATTGTGCCGTGACATTTCCCGCCAGAGTACCTCCTAAAATGGCTGGCAAGAAGGGCGGCTCGTCCTCTCCCGGGCCCGGGATATTATCCTCTATCAAACTTGTTTCGTGCAATACAACCTTATCTTTGTTGCCAATATCAAGGAGAGTCAGCTCTTGGCCATCAGGAAAGTCTACTTCGACTTCATGAGGGTCTAATTGCGTTTGTGGAATCCCAAACTCTTCCCATCGGGCTTGGGTCCACTCTGCCTGACGACGACCCTGGCTCGCAAAGTGGGAATTGTTGGTATAATAGCGGCTGCATTGGCGGATACTATCAGCTTTCGGTGCATCGAAAAGACTTTGCCACGGTGATAAGCCGAGGCTGGCATAGTCCTGCGTCGTCAAATGTCGCTGCTGAGAGTGCTGAAAGCCAACGGCACTGGGAATAGTCACTGCCAGTGCCGCGAGGCATTTCAGTGAAGGTCTGTGCCGAAAAGGCTCCATAATCATATTCCATACGAGTGACAACTAATAGTACTGGTGCGTTGGCGCGGGATATCTCGTCACTTTTGTAGTAACTCTGGTGGACGTAAGGTACACTAATATCTTGTCCTTACTTCCATGCACAACGTTACATTCCGGTCCCAACGCGAAAGTTGGGAACCGAATCACCGCAACCTAGTTAATTAATGCATTACATATCATTCAAATGTAACCTTGAAAAGGGGGGTAAAATCGCGGTAAAGCCCTGCTGCATGCGTCTCTCACTTAATAGTGGCCATGATGGCTGCCTCGGCCCATCTTCTATACAATCAATGGCAACAAGTCCTATTATGCCATTGCAGGCCCTTTCTAAATCTTTTTGCTTTCGTTCTCATTCCCAGTGTTAAAGTCGACAGGATTATACACTAGCTGCTCCCAATATCCTGAACGGATCCCACTTAATTAAGATCAGAGGTTTTTTGATCTCGTGGAGTACAATAGTGTTCCAGACCCACATGAATAGTGTCTGCAAGTTGTCTTCGCCCTTACCTCACACACTAAAGATCCAGGCCAATTCGAAGATCAAAAGATGCTAGCTAGATTATACCGCTAAAGCAAAGCATCAGGTTCCACAATATCGTTAATTAAAATTATCGAGCGACCACACGTCGCCATGGTTGCTTAAGCTTCATTCAGTGATTGGTGGCCGTCACGCTGGCGTGCATTGAGATCTACAGCTTCAGCAAATACTTGGTCATATTATCCTCAATTTGTTAGCCAATTCAAACTCCAACTAGCTTATCTTCTACATAGGAAAAATAGTAGTGCGAGGGGCTGATCTCTAGAGAGGTTTAGGTAAGTATTAAAAAAAAAAAAAAAAAAAAAAAACAAGAGGTAAAATGGCTTGAAGATTATAGCATATTATAGCATGATTCAATACAGTATATATCATAGTCTTATGCAGCCCTCAAAGAAGTTTGTACTGCATTACCTAGAACACCATTTTGGTATAGTGGACTATCATTAACGACTTAAGACCCTTATTGCCTCCATGGACTATTCTTAATGATATTCATCTTCAGTATCTCTTATTGAATGTGGAGCATGACTTTATGGGGTTTTGTCGTGGATACAGTAAAGCTTGACCCTTAGGGCTTTGCTGTTAGGTCCAATGTGTAATCCCAATGTACCACCTCTTCCTTGGGAGGTTCCCGGCAACGTCTGATCGTCGATTGATGTGGCTTTTAACTTGCTGATACCAAAGATGGGAGCAGGTACAAATATTCATGTGCAATTCTATACGTCTTCACCCTGTTAGCGTCGGCTGAGGTAAATTCGCAATGGCCTATAGTTTGGATCTGTGGGAATTCTGTACTTCTCTCAGTAGGGCATCTATGAGTTCTCACCACGATTGTATAAAGGACTGCGTTAAGCAAAAATAGGATATGGTGACCATCTTGTTTTTGTTGGCTTGCAAGGTAGCATTAAATCAAAGTGCCGATCTGCATGAATGATACCACTGCGTTCCGTATAGATAGCGATTGCCTACAGAGAATACCATTCTGGCTGACTTTAGGAAATCTCCAACAACGCTGTGTATCGAGCAATGAAACGGTCGTTGAGGCAAACAGTATGGCTCTAGGCTTGAATGATCGCCCACAGAGGCTCCTTCTCTTGGCACCTTGTATCTTAAAGAATTCCTCTTGGGTACTGTATTGAGAGATGCTTCAAACAGACTGTAATTGAAGGTCTTCAGCTCGTCTAGATGGTAGGCCACAACAGAGAATTAGTGGTGATTTTGCACAGGAAACTGATATTACAGCTCTGGTTGTACTATCCCCAAAAGCCTGCCAGTCACATAGACTGTAAGTTGGGGAGTTAGATTGACACAATGGGCTAACCTTTGGAAAGGCAAGAATATGTCAGCCATGAGAGCTTAGATTAAGGTTGTTTCTGACTGACTGATAATATCTCGGAGCAGGTGGTGACGACCTCGGTGTCTGTCTTCCGCAAATGCGGGTCGATCGAGCTGTCTCTCCTGGCCAGGACTGAAGCGGGTTATACCTGTCCACAATTTTTCCAGAGGAAGCCATGACTGAATGAATTAACTACTGGACAGTAGGTCTATCTAGTGTAAGATATAATAACTAAAGACTCTGTGTTGGGCGACACAAGGCGAAGCTTGGGTGTAGCCATACTGCTTCCAGATGAGACAGATTTCAGTCACCGATACATTGGTAGGTGATGTTAACCACCATTTCACCAAGTGGGTGCCTCTCTAAAACATATTGAATAGGGCAGATCAGCTGGCACGAGGCTAATGCACCTCGGTGATTGTTATAATGAAGAATATGCGGAGAAAAGCAGATCTCAAGCCGCAACAAAGCCCAGGGTAAACTTCGTTTGGCTCAATATGGAGGAGTGCTCGTTGTGTGTGAAGCAGAAGTGGGTCGATCAAAATTGGTTGTTATATTTTCCGTTTCGAGGCTTGAAGCGATAGAAATAGATATTTTACCCCGGTAAGTGACCCATTCATTGAATTGCAGTTTATTCCCAACGTATGCTCGACTTCACAGTCTAGGTTGCATAGTAGACCCTTTAAATGGCAGTGCTCATTTTATTATCAGTCACAGATGGTTGCAGTGAATATAAATTGGAATTGGGAGGGAGGCAATCTTAGACATTCATCAATTCCTGTCCAGGTAACAAACAGTACATCAAATCAACAGGGAATAAAATTAGTCACTAGCAAATGCACAGGTGCCCATATCCAATTGAGCAACTTCCGCCTCAGGCCGGATGTCAAAATCAAAAATATCTATTGGCACCCCCAATGTGGTGCAGGCATTCGGGATATCCACGAGGCCCGCAATATGGCCCTGTACGGGAGCACAGCTAAGTAGCATGTAGATTTGGTAGTCATTGTAGCCATACCGACGGAGGTACTCAATCACCCGGAGGCAAGTCTGCCGATATGCGACAGTAGCATCGAGGCAGTGCTGTTTCCCATTCTCATCAACAGAGAACCCTTCGAAGGTAAGATACCGACCAGGGCCAAACTGTGGCTCAACTGGCCCGGGGTGGAAGATAGGAGACTTCATGCTCAACTTGGCCATTCCGTCCTTTATTACGGTGAACTTGATGGTAATGACACCGGCCATTTCTATGGCGCCACAGAACGAAATCTCTCCGTCACCCTGAGAGAAGTGTAGGTCTCCCACGGAGAATTTTGCGCCTGGGACATGAACTGGAAGGTACACTTTGGAGCCTCGGGAGAGGTTTTTGATGTCACAGTTCCCTCCATTCTCAGGACGACCCTAGATTGATTAGCATATCAAGCTCGGGGAACAGCCACTATGTCGGTTATGCACATACAGGAATAGTTCGGGCCCCTTCTCGTGCAATGCGTTCCTTGAGGCTTTCCTTCGCACTACCAGCGTGAGCGCACTTGGGCTCAGGAGGCTTCGCGACATCGCGCCCGGTCGTGTTGGCTGCGATAAGCTCGCCCTCACGGCGGTTCCACTCTGCTAGAACCTCTGCAGAGGGCGCACATCCTAAGATACCCGGATGAATAAGGCCAGCGAAACGCACATGAGGTATGTGACGGGAGGAACAGAAGATGCCCTCAAAGTCCCAGATGGCTTTGGCTCTATACACACCATCATTAGAGCCCTGTCTGCCATATGATTGATTGGAATGCAAAATAATGTCTTACGCTTTGGGGTAAATCTCGTCCAAAAAGCCTCCTCCATTGCGCCGATCGAAGACGCCGCTAAACCCCCAAGGCTGATCTTGGAAAGGTTGAACATCCTGAATTTCCACCACGAGAACATCGCCGGGCTCGGCATTTTCAATGTCAAATGGGCCCGATAGATAGTGGATTTGGGTCAAGTCCACATTCTTGACGTCGTCGGCAGAGTCGTTGTTCTTGATTTGGCCTCCAGTCCAGTCGAGACATTCGATCTTAACAACCTCATTGTTTGCAATTTTCCCACAAGAGGGAACTGTTAAACAGACATATGCTTAGAAAGGATTTCACAGATGGAAGTCGGGGATTTTGTTGGGGGATATACCGTCGGGGTGCCAGCGGTTCTGTATGGATTTGTTAGTACCGACGCCATCATTCCTATCTCTATTTGAGTAGAAAGAACGTACATGTAAACCCGGCTGTTCCCAAGCTGGCTTGTCTAGATCAACTTTGAGAGCAGTACGAATACCTTTGTGTCCCATATTTTCGTGTTATCGGCGTGTGAAGGGTTGATGGGACTCTCTACGGTGAAGTAGTAAAAGTAGTGGACAAACCACTTTCTTTAGGGGGCCTCGTATTTGAACTTCAATGCGACGGAGAATGTAACTTTCCCCTCACGCGGAGGATGATCCATTGATTATCTTTCGAGTTCTGTTATTCATTGTATTATCAACCCCGCAGTTGAGGATTACGAACCGATAGACTTATCGCGCTTATCAGCGGGCCTTGTCGGGGTAAACAATGAAGTTGTTGTTCATTGATCTATAGATAATAACAAATCTAATTGGAGAAACGCTAAGAATTGGGCCATACCATAGGCTAGGACTATGTTCTGCAGTGTCTACAAGGATAGACAAGCGGTTGATATTAATAGTCCGAGGTATCCATCCTTATCTTCGATTCTTATCTCCTCGGTAACGACTCGTGTAAGGCAAAACACTATACAAACTAGAAGGAGATCGTGCCAGAACGAATCCCCAGACCTAGGAAAACTTATGCCGAACAGCGTCGGGTTCAACAGGCCTGTTGCTGTCTTTGCCGGCCTGGGCAGCAATGTTGATTTTGTCGATGTTATCCAGCGACAACTGCAGGAAGTCGTGTTTATTCTTCCAGGTTACCTGGCTTTCGGCAAAGCCATCACTCTCAGATGGACTTGGCGGAGGATCCGTGATTTTAGTGATGAGATAAGCTGTGGATGCTTGGGCGATACCATATATGAGAACTCCTACGAAAGGCGTCCTCAGCACAACGGTGAAAGCAAAGGCGAAGCCGAATAGGACTCCTTCGCGGTCTGCAAACCAGCGGCGTTTCTGTTCGGTGGTGTACTTGACACGGCAAAAGTACGGCTCGAGCTGGTCCAATCGTTAGATGCTAACATACATCTCTTTGGATTATTTGTGGTGTTCATAGTCACTTACAAGTTCACGCATCAAACTGCGGGAAGAGTAATAGGTGTGAATGAAGGTGACCAGGTAGCGCTTGGGAAGAACCAGGCCGGTACCGAAGATAGCAGCAGCAGGGGCTGTTCCGACGCCCTGCTGAAAGGTATAGAACGAGGCCGCGGGCATCACAAAGCGCCCAACGATTGGAAGAAGAGATAATAAAAAGACGCCAAGCATCATTCCAGCCTTGCGCCCATACCGACGGAGGAATAGGAAAATGGATTCTCCGGCTGGCTTAGACACACCGACACTGCCTTTCGTCGAGTACATGGTAAGGTTGGGGTAATACATAGACCGAAGTGTTTTGGGATCGTCCAATTTATGCTTATCAGCATAGGTTGAGTCGACCCATTTCAGTGATTCCATGAAACTATAGAGTCAGTATATATGGCCAATGTGTCAAAGAATGCCAAGAGATTTACATTTCATCCAGGGTTGGGGTTATGTATCGCATGAGCGTCATCAGCAGGAAGGGGACTTGAAGTACCGACTTGCTCAGGAAGTCGAGACTTTCAAGAAGGCCATCGTCCCAGGTCGCACTCTCCAAGTCGGCTACCCATGAAATGATCCATAGAAGGAACTTAACTCCGATGATCTAAAAAGGATGCTGTCAGTTTTGCAGATCCCATCCTATCCAGGAACCGGGACACACGGGGATTTGAATGATCAATTGAATGGCCACTCCAACAGCTACTGCAAGAGCGGCTTGCCGGAAATGGTTATATTTGAAAAGCTCTGGGTTCCGCAGTGCTCGAACAGCTGTTGGTGTTTTGGTCAGCCCCATATCTACTAGTCAAGATGCCAAGAGGATCTCCGTGCTCTTATCAATCGTTGAAGAGCCATGGAGACAACTGCTCGATATTGACAATTTCTCAAGGCCCATGACCTGATCATCCGAAGGCACAAACCGTATATTGATGTCTATTGGCATTCTTCCTTTTGGCTGGGGCGAATCTCCGGAAGACCCGGACTTGTTTAAGGTAGTGATGGGAAAGACTCACTTCCAACAACTGTGAGCTGAGCACCACGGATCACGGCATTAGGCTCAAAATTGGGCATTTTGAGCGTTTTTGGTAGCCTCGTCAACGATCCAGGAACGGATTGAGGTTGAATAGTTGACGTGTATTGTTCCTTTTGTGGATCTTCGTCACCTGCAGAAAGCGCGCAGGCAACAGCATAATAAAATCTATGGCGGCGACCGGGGATTGGCCAGTAAACGCGCGCGTTTGTGGAAGAGCCGCGGGACCCACAGTGGGCATGTGAGCGTTTGCCTCAGGCGACGATCTGGTTCCCGATCCCCCGCGGTTTCTGTTGAAGAGGCAAATCACAGGAACTTTCCCCCCGTACAGAGAGGACCAGTGGTGGTCGTTCATTCTTTATCAACTCAACAACCCTTCTCGGCTTACATTCATTCTCATCTAACTACGCTCTTTCTTTTTTCATTCACCATATTCACCATATCGCTTTTATTTTGATCGCACATTCGACTTAGTCTATTCAATGTAATCTGTTTTGTTCTCCGCCCTTTCTTCTCACTACTAGTTCTCATGAACAATGAACGATCTCTCGGATGCGCCTCTTCCTCAGATCCGTCGGTCTGCCACTCTTCCTCCCAAATTAAACCCACGTCTAAAACGCAGTGTGGAGTCGTCGAGGCCCTCGGGGAACGATCTTTTTTACCATCCTGCAGCCAAAGTCGTTCATTTCGCCCCGAGAGCGCTTGCGCCTATCCCATCAAGTAATTCGCCAGCGGACTTCGATTACCCGGTGGATACCGTTGAGACCCTTCCATGGAGGTCGCCCACCGAAAGAACAGTCGCTTTTGCGCCCCTTCGGCTTGAGAAAGTTCACGGCCTAACTGTGTTCCTCAAATGCGGCAGTGTCGTCCATGCGATCCTTAAGAACTCTCAGTGTTGGTGTGTTGACGGAGAGTCCACTTTTGTTCTACGCATCCGTCCCCTCACGTACTATCGCATCGAACTTCCAAATGAATCAGAAGAAGATAAGGAGTCTGTCGGGGCAATGAAAGTGGCCTTGCCTCAGATACTCCGCTACGAAGTCACACCCTGCCCGTTCAAAAGAGGTTTCACTGTCGAGATACCGGAGGAGGCCAAAGTCCCGCGGCGCAAGAGGGCATGGCGTCCCAAAGGGCGAAGGGAAAGCGCACCTATACTTGCACGCTATATACAAGATAAAGGCCCGGTTCACGAAGACATCCCGACCGAGCCTCTGAGCGCTGGCGAAGATACTGATGGGAACTTGACAGATGACAGCTGCTTCACAACAAAAGGCAGTAATAGCACAACTCTCGAGACCATTCCGGACGATAACGAACTTCCAATATCTACCAGTATCCCTGAAACCATGAATGTGTCTCAATGCTCTGTGTCTGAGACTCAACAGAGCTTCCAAACCTTGCTGGCAAGGTTTGAAGATACGCCAGAACCCATTTTAGAACCTGATATGTCATTGTCGTCAAGTGTTGACTCGTTCCACTCTGCCGCACTTTCATCGTCCTCAACCCCCGACTCGAATTCGGGTTCAACTTTCCCTTCGGCCACGTCAATCGATGGCACTAACCTTGGTCTGAGTGACCGCGGTAACAATCGAAGTCAGTCGGAGAATCTAACATTTCAGGAGGTTGATTTCTCTGCCAAAAGCTCTCTGTCAGATATTAAGTGCCAAGATTACTGCTCGTCTCGGCCCCGGGCTTCTCCTAGGGCTTCTTTCTCGGAGGATGAATATAGACGAGTGCCTGGTGCACTACCGGATGACCAGATGTCAATTGCAAGCTATGCTGGTACTTCGAAGAGCACAGACTCAAACCCAAATCTCAGCAGTATGAGCATTGAATTTCGTCGTCGGTCTAAGGCGTCCTGTGAACGAGTACTTTCCCCGATGCCACCGCAATCCGCTTTGACCCTCACTAGTCCTTCGGGAAAGCAAAACACGACGTCTTTCATCCAGAAGACATGCACAGTGGTTCTTGTTCCTCCGATACAGTTATTCATTGTCCTTATTCATATTGCAGCTCGGATTGTATTAGGCCCAGCCTTGACATCGGCCGTAGGGGATTTGAACCGCAAGTTCGAATGCCAAGTGACGAACCCTCAGGAGGCTGTGGACGACTTTGATCTTCCTCTTGCACCCGACTGTCCCCGGAAGCAGTCGATATCGGAAGAGGCCAACTCGTGGGAGTTGGATTAAATCATTTGCCAAGGTAACTTGCGTAACTTGGCAGTTTCTCTCTTTGACTTATCTTCTCCTTTCAGTTTCATTACCTATTAGTCCACTCACATTTGTTTCTTTAAGTTCCTCGTACTCGGCATGATGTCCTTGTTTCCATGATGATGATTTGTGCACTATTTCACTATTTCTCGGTTTTGGGTACCTGTACGGTTTTTGGGCGGATCTGTTCTTCCTTTAAATACTTGTTCTCTAATGTCCCCTTTGTACTTTAGCATACTTAGGTATAGTGATAGCTAATATACCCTGCTACTATTAGTTGGAAAAGGGAAAGGAAGCACAATTGAATCGTTCATTCCTCGATCTAGTCCATATCTTCAACTCACCAACCTGTCCAGGTATATGTATATCTAACATATCAACACGAAAGGAACAAGGAAAAGAGAGGGGGGGAGGGGGAATAAATGTTAAAAACAGGTTGAAACCAGAGAACGCCATCAATGCAAAGAATCAAACAGAGCCATTTTCAGGGAGCAGTCGATTGATGAACCATAATCCCCAGCCGCAACGGCATCACACACTCCTTCCCGTAGATCATCAAATCATGCCGCATCGGTGCCCACTCATACCCAAACCCAACAAGTCTAGGCTTTAGCCGCCTTCGAAGCTCCTTTCCCCTTAGCCTTGCCCTTCTTGCGATCTCTCTTCTTCAGCCCCATCATCCCTGCCTTGCACACCTCCGCATAGCGAGTATAGAAGGTCTCGAGATCCTCCGGCGCCACGATCGTCGACAACTTGACTTTCGTGATAGTCTTCTTCTCGACCTTGTTGTTCTTCGGATTAGGGGCGTTGGTATTACCATCCGTCGCTCGGATAAGGATAGAAGGACGTGACGAGAGATCAGTCTCTGATGAAGCAGTAGTGTCGATGAGAGGCTTCTGAGTGAGGAAGACAGAGCCGCGGGTCTTTTGAGAGGTCTTGGATAGAAGGTCGGAGAGAGAAGAGAAGAACTACAATAAGTATTAGCAAGACGCCCCGTGTAATAACAAACGCCTCACGGATATAAAGCAGGCCAGTGCCGGTAAGTAATCATCCAAATACACACCTCTTCATGACCAAGATGTGGTGCCATTGCGACAACAAACGTCAAATTCGCTTTCTGTGCGGTGTATGCAGCGTAACACGTTTACCTCCCGTAGCCTAAGCTTGTCACCAACAAACAAGACACCAAAGCCGAATGAAAAATGAAAAGTACTTGACCGAATGAAAGCTGTCCAAGTTCCCCTCGGTTCTAGCGTGAGTGATACCGAGCAGCATAACCACATCGACAACCCTCCGCAGTTGGAGCGGGCTCACCGCCTTTGCTTAATTGGTTTCCGCCTCCCACTCCGCCCGCCTTTCTTTCCGGCATAAAGAAAAAGTTTCGTCGCGAGAGCTTCCCGGCAAGACGAGTTTGCGGAGGGAATATACTAATATTTGGCCCACGATGCCGCGTCCTATGCATAATACGACTTCGCTGCCGCGGAACTTGCGCGGTGAATTGGGAATCAAGGATACCTATGGTGAAAGGAAGAGAAGGCTGAACGGACCTGCGAACCGGAAAGATCGTCGGAAGGCGGAGCGAGACGAGAAGAAGACGAAACGAGCGCCGGTTTCAAGGAGCGGTGGGGGGAGACATAAGCGCGAGGAAGATGATGAGGATGACTTTGAGGGGTTCGAGGTTGACTCCGGCGCTGAGTCCGACGCAGCTGGCGAGGAAGATGTGTTTGCCAAGCTGAAGGCTGCGAAGCAGGCGAAACAGCAACCTAAGCCTATTCTTAAGAAGAAAAAGGCTGAGAAATCGGATTCTGAAAGTGGTGAGGAGGAGGAAGAAACGGTCCGACCGCGCAAGGTTTCTCAAGCGGTCCAGGACAAGCTCGACCAAGACGATGCGGAGATTGCTGCGTTGGAGAAAAAGCTGGGACTTAAGAAAGGCAAAAAGCTCCCAAAGTCATTTGAAGAGGACGGGTTGGGTGATCTGCTTGGTGATTTGGACGAGGGCTCAGCAGATGACGGTAAAAAGCGCAAAAGAGAAGCCGACGAATGGCTGAGAAATAAGAGAAGGAAGGCGCAAGGCTTGGAGCCCGAGGGTGAATCTGAAGAAGATGATAGCGATATGAGCAGTGAGGAAGAGATGGATGGCCTGAATGACTTTGACGATCTTGACGACGACGAAGATATGTTTGACGACGTGGATGGAGATGATGATGACGAGGCCGAAGAAAGCGAAGAAGACAAGCCAGCCCCGAAGAAACGAGAAAACCCGTTTGTCGCCCCAGTTGTAGAAACGGCTGAGAATCGCCCACAGAAATATATTCCTCCATCCCTGCGAGCTGCGTCTGGGTCAGAATCAGAGTCTCTCACCCGACTGAGAAGACAGGCCCAAGGACACATCAATAAGTTGTCCGAGGCGAACCTGGTTTCCATTTTGGCTGAATTTGAAAAGCTCTACCGGGAGTACCCTCGAAAAGATGTGACTTCAACCTTGATAAATCTCCTTTTCGGCATGATATGCGAGAGGTCCGCCCTTCAGGATACCTTCCTCATCCTCCATGCTGGGTTCATCGCAGCCGTATACAGAATCGTCGGAATGGACTTCGGTGCTGAGCTTGTCCAAAAGATTGTTGAGACATTCGACGCCCGTGGTGATGAACGTGGCCAATTTGAAGGCAAGGAACTCGTCAACCTGATCTCTCTGCTCTCGCAACTTTACAATTTCCATGTCATCTCAAGTACCTTAATCTTCGACTACATCCGACTCTTCCTACAAGACATCACTGAAGAGAACACCGAATTGCTCCTGAAGGTCATCAGAAGTACGTATAATCTCCTTATCGCGTAGAAAGAAACAAACTAACAGTAATAGACTCCGGACCTCAACTCCGACAAGACGACCCTTCCTCTCTGAAAGACATCGTCCTTCTCATCCAACCAGCCGTCGCCAGAGCCGGCGAAGTAGCCCTATCCGTCCGCACCAAGTTCATGATCGACACAATCACCGACCTAAAGAACAACAAGCTGAAAGCCGGAGCCGGCGCAGCTATAACAACCGAACACATCACCAAAATGCGCAAGATCCTCGGATCCCTAAACAATACCCGGGTAGTCCGCGCCTCAGAGCCCATCAGCATCTCACGAGATGACATCCACAACTCCTCCAAAAAGGGCAAATGGTGGCTCGTCGGTGCAAGCTGGAGGGAAGACCCCCTCGTAACAGCTCGCCAAGAACTCTCAACCCTCCCAACAGACGAGCAGAACGCCGCCCCAGAAGAGGAAGACAGCGACGCCGAACCTGACTTCGTGAACCTTGCAAAAGCCCACCGTATGAACACCGACGTCCGCCGCTCCATCTTCGTCGCCATCATGTCCGCAACAGACTACCAAGACGCACACGTCCGAATCCTCAAACTCCGCCTCAAGAAAGCCCAGGAATACGAAATTCCTCGCGTCCTCACCCACTGCGCAATGGAAGAAGAAGCCTACAACCCCTACTATACGTTAATCGCGCGCCGGCTCTGCGGCGAATCTGGCCGCCGCCTCAAAGTCTCCTTCATGTTCACCCTGTGGAACATCTTCAAACGCATGGGCGAGGCAGGCGATCTAGACGACGAGGGGGAAGCCTTCGACGACGAAGACGAACAGAACCAACTCCCCATGAAAGCAATCGTCAACCTCGCAAAGATGTACGGTAGCCTCATCGCGGACAACACCCTCACATTGGGAATCCTTAAAACCCTCAATTTCGCCTACCTGCAGCCGAAATCCAAGACCTTTGTCGAACTCCTCCTAATCAGCGTCATCCAGCAATCCCAGAAAAAGAAACAGGGCAAAAAGCAAGCCAAGAAGTCTGAGGATGAAAGAGACGAAAAGGCCTTGTTGGAAATCTTCATCCGGACCCGTGAAACGCCTCAGATTGTCAAGGGGCTGATCTACTTCCTCCGCAAGGTGGTCGCGAAGTCGGACATTGTTTCCGGGAAGGAACAGAAGGTGGTTAAGTGGGGATGCAATGTTGCTGTTGATGCGTTGAAAGTAGTTGCGAAGGAGACGGCTTGATAGGAGTTTTGAGTCTCTTGTACTTGCTTTGGTGGCTTTTTGGCGTTTTGGCTGTGTTTCATACGGACGTGTGGCGAGTTGGATAAAAGCAAAAGCATTGCGTTAGATCTGTTGCTCCGATTCACTGTATATATGCTATTTAACGATATGAATACAGCTCGGTCCCTCGGCGGAGGATACCATTCACAAAGAACTAACTAAATTAGGTAAATAATCGGGTATCGTATCATGCATGTCAAACATAAAAGTCATCATCTAATAATCTACAGATATCAAATCCCACTCCAAGCTCACAAGCCACCGTATGGTACCGCTGGAGTTCCCATTCCCGCCACCGTCAGAGCCGACCCCGCGTAAATCACATCCATCCCCCAAATCAACCTCCCAGGACGGTCCTCGATAAACACCCACCACATGCCCCTCGGCAAGCACAGGAACACGGTCAGCGCCCGGGTGCTGAGGCAGCGACTGAGGAGGTTGGTAGCGAGGAAGCCCTAAGAGGAGGACATTCTTCATCGGAGACCCCTCATGATCACCGTCCAGAGAAGTCACAGCCTGGCCACGCACGAAAGCAAGCGGATCTGAGCTCCCAACCGTAGATTGGCTCACGCCCGTGACACGAATGGCAAGAGCATACTTCTGCAGATCAGGCACCCCCGCTCCAGTATGGCGTCCCTGGTTAAGCTCCATCTGTGCTCGCTTCGTTCCCATCTCTAATATCCAGCCGCGCACTTCGGCTGCCATGCCACCCGGCAGATAGCTGGGGGTCGAGGGGCGATGACGGCCGCGCCGACGGACCGCTTGGGAGGAAGGGGAGAATGGTGTCGGAATGGCGGAGGGATCTTCCGCAGCCTGGGATGGGGAGGGCGAGCGCGGCAGGACAAACGTAGGTTTCGGCCTTGGGGTTGAATAGGTCAGGGCTGGAGTCGGACGAGCGCTTGATTGTGGCTGGGTACTAGGAGCTGCCTGGGAGGCTGATAGCACGAAACGGGGGTTATGGCGGAAGGTTGGTTTTATGGTTCCTGGCGTGGAGGGCTGAAGAGGAGTGGTTACGGAAACGGTTCGCTGGGGGAAAGTTTGAGCCGGTGTATGGCTATGCCCTCGAGTGTAGCCTTTACTCGGCGATGGTAGTTCGGGCGAAGAGGTCTGGACCATATCATCGTTGCGCTTCCTTCGTTGAGTGAAGCGTGTTCGGGTGTCGAGCGAGACACGCCTTCTCTTTGCGCGGGCTGTCGTTGGTCCGAAAAGAGCTTCAAATTCAGCGTCAAGGTCGCATGTATCGTCTGGCGCACTGCTATCTAGGTCTACGCTTCCGGTGATATCGGGGGCGCCTCCGCTGTAGCCTAGTCCGTCGTCGGAGTCTTCAATTATCTCTTTCTGGCGCAGGGTTGAACCACTAGTTGTTTGATCGGCGGCACGTGTACTTGCGACTGGGGTTGATTGAGGAGATCCTTGAGAATCAATGAGGTCGTCTGCATCATGTCCAGGAGTCTGCTGTAAGAGGACAAAACGGGGCGTTGACGCGAATTGAGGACCAGCACGGGGCCGAGCGGAGGAATCGGAGCGACGGGAAGGAGGGCCGCGAAATGGTGTCTGCGATCGGTAGGTTACATGGTTGTTGTTTGCGACAGACTTTTTGTTTGGTTACTTACGCTAGAGGGAGGCATTGAAACACGGGGAAGAATTCAAGTGCGACATTCTCGAGAGAACCCGCGGGGGTTTGAAAGTCATTGGATTGGATTTAATCTTATCTCTCAGGTGATTGGAATTCAATTTAAATCATATTCAGATCCTTATCTCCCTTATCCCCGTCAGGCATGAATAGACGCCTAAGGCAGGAAGTAACTCGTCCTAGATCAGCCCTCTTCACTTCATTGCTGTCAGAGAACCACAGTTCAAGTTCAGATCTCCAGGTTAGGCAACACTAAATTGTGCCCAGGTTATGTAAAAGGCTAATGCAGCGACTTTAGTGTATACAAGGCGTAATGTACAAGACACTACGCCACCCAACTCCTGGTCGTGATAGGAGCAAACCCTAAGCGACGGAATACTTCCATGCGTCCTATACAGCGGAACGGCCCCAAAGAATCTATATTTCCAAAGCCCGACAAATATAACCGCATATTGCGGAGTTCAATGGTCTTAAACATTCCTGAATTACTCACCGGGGGTTTCATGACTATCACAGACAAACAGCCAAGGGCCCCCGACCAAGCACGGACATTAATAAGGAATATAAAGCCACCAATCATTCCTCTCCAGCCCAAGTCCAGCTGGGCGACGTGTGGCCGACATAACCCTTTCTGACATATTTATCTCGCGCCGAATCCCTGGAAGAATCCTTTGTGTTGGGGCCGGTTCTCAATAGAAACAAGGAACAATGGGCATAGAGAGGATCACATTAAGCACAAGGCAAACCGTAGGCAATGCAACCAGCTTCCAGTTAGCTTACAAATCCGCCAATACCCCTCTGCTGCAGTGGGAAATAAACAGCGAAGCACTGAAGGGGAAGTCAACTCTAATGATCATCGGCGTTTGCCCATCGACCAGCCTAGTACATAATAACCGTTAATATAAGGTCCTTCTGGAAACTCCTGCATAGTTAAGGACATGGATTATTTATTATTGCAGACTAGGGTTACATCATGCTTTTTAAGTTGAAAAGACCTTTTTGCGATTCACTGCACTGAAAGAACTCAAGAATTGATATCTTGTTCTGTGGAGTGCTATGAATGCGCTGCTGATCCCTTCCCATTTCTAACGCTAGAAATACCCAGCGAACGTCTGATCCCCATGATCAGCGTGATCATTAACCGGGAGGCGTGATTGACAGCACATTCGAGGCTCGAATCACTCGTTCTCAGGATGAACTGATTGGCCACCGAATCCTTCAGCCGAGACGTGAGTGGGCCGTGCTCAGCCTTGGAAATGTCCGAGGCAGAGACAAGAATCATGCCATTGAATTCCGTAGGATTCTCCAAGACACAGGCCAGCGATAAAGAATGGTTTGCTCCTCATCCCAGGCACGGCGGGATTTGACTACGGTGTGAAAAGCACGATGTATATACACCCCTGCATTATATTACCATATCTCATAGGAGCGGCAGAAAACGATAGGGAGCGAATGGCAATGACAGGCATTCGGCCTTGAATATACCCGGCAAGTCTACGCCATTCTAGTAGCCATGCAGCAGAGATCCGCCCCGAATCCCAAAGGACGGGACGACTACCCTGAGCCAGCAAACGGACCGTAACCGTAGCGGCACGTCGTCAGCCCAGAACCGAGGATAGCGATGGGGCCCCCACTAGTGGTAAAGGCATACAGGAGCCACTGATATTTCCCCTAATGGACGACGTGCAGACACTAGGAGGGACCGCTGGGACGCCAACGTCCAAACCCCGGCAAAGGGTTATCCATCGCAACGGTGTCCATTATGATAGTCGACGCAGGGGGGGGCACTTGACGAAAAAGTGGCCCCTAATTGGGTCTACTGCTTGCTGATGAATTTGGCAGGTGGAGTTATGCCGTTTGACGTGGTGAGTTGTCGGCCAGTCCGGGCAGCACTACTGATGTATTATCAGTTTTGACTCCCGGGGAGGTTCCGCACTGCCGGGTCGTGGTTTATATCCTACGTGCTAGAGTAATACTCTTCTCTCATACAAACCGAAAGATAAACTGATTTCACTAAGCAGATAGAATTATCTCAATCTAGCCAGATTAGTTATGGTGAGGTTGACTTGACTAGGGTAATTCGGTCTACGCCTTAGTCTATATCTACGCAAAGTCTTTGTGTGCGGAATCCCTAATTTCTTCTGAGCCCTTCATCAACTGGGCTTCTGAAGTCTATCATGAGAGATAGGCAGTGACTGATCGATCGATTGATTATTTATGATGCAAGCCAGTGTTTTTTTGTATCGAAATGTCTGCCACTACCACTACCCAATGCCTGACCCTTTCCACGCCGACCATCCAACCTCTCCAAAAAGACCATGCAATCCCAAAGAGTGCCAATGAATTCCTTCGCCAAGTTTTGCATCATGAATTCCTCATCACAGCGCGATTGCTCAGGGCCAACATCCGTGAAGGCCTAGTCCTCCCCATCATCGGTCTCATCGCCCGCTTCCTACCCGCGCCAGATCTCCTACTGACGACCCCCTGGACTCATCTTGCCATGGTACTTGTCAAGACCTTCTTCTGCTTCGTGTGCCACCTGTACGTGTTCGAGATCGTCAACCAAGCCCTCTCCGTCGAGGAAGACATCGCCAATAAGCCGCATCGGCCGATCCCAGCAGGCCTGCTCAGCATCCCCGGTGCCTACAGGCGCTGGCTGCTCAGCTGGGCCATCTGTCCAGCCGTTGCTAGTCACATTGCCGGTCCGGAAGCTGCAAGGCTCTTCGGAGCATATCAAGCCTGGGTATACTTTTGCTATGTCTGGCCAAAAATAAACCATTGGATCCTCCGGAACGCATTTGCATCCATTGGCACTTATAACATGTTTCGGCTCGTGGATACCATCATCCACAGCGAGATACCCTCGTTCCCGGTCATGTCAACGAAGGACCTCCTTGTCTTGTCTCTGTGGGTCATGGCAACTGTACATATGCAGGAATTCCATGATGCCGAGGGTGACAGGCGAATGAAGCGAAAGACACTCCCGGTTGTGGTTGGACCTCAGAGGGAACGCGTCCTCCGGGCGGGGACAGCGTTGCTAGTCACCGGTCCGGGGATTGTGCTCTTGATCACCACGGCGTCCTACTATGCCCAGAGAATTTCCTTCGCGCTTGGTCACTGGACGTTAGCTGGGCTGGTTGTGACGTGCATCCTGCACAATATCTTCGCATGCGTAGTCGGATTCCGATGCATCCGGCACGGTGACGTCGCCTTTGATCGCAAGACCTATAAACGGTTTTATATGTTGGCGGCATATACCATGGTCTGCTACTTGTCCTTCTGGCAAGTGGCACAGAAAGAAATCTCCAAGGAATGGATCTTGATGAAACAGTAGGTCGCCAAGGATAACGATGACAGTAGTCCCACGGACACTCCACGCAAAGTAAATATAACTCGCTCGATTAGTTCCGGCAGCAAGAGCCGAAACAAAGATCAGCCGCTAGATACATACATTAGCTAGAGGCAACATCACATACGTGTAGATATGGCTTACGATTATAATGCCTGTTGTTTGGGCGGGTTTTGTTCTTTTGTGCATGACACGGTGTTGGTTTCGCTTTTCTATTACCTGTCAGCGACCAGTTTACAGGTAGACAGAATCTGGTAGCTATACTTACTCGATCAATGTCAATTCCGAGACTGAGTCTTTCTGAGCATCCAGCGCCTGCTCCATTTCCGTGGATTTCTTCTTTTTGAGAAGGCTGAAGAGAAAATCTGGCATTTTGGCGACAAAGCGTGCACAGTACGACTGGGTGCTTTCCTCTATGATTAGAATTTGCTATGTACATACAAGAACTGGTAAGGGACTTGTTCTTATAGAGGGGGGCTATCCGAAGTTTTTAAGGTCGATGCCGACGGCCGATCCCCCGGTCGCCGGTCTGATACCGCGATCCAGATGGTCATCCGCCGAAGGCTAATTGCTCGCTGATTGAATGACATCTTGTACATGTTGGGGCAGAACGAACGTCTGCCCTAGCCCTACCCAATGCATCGCGTCCAGTCGGGTTAAGCCGAGCTTCATCATTGGGAAGCTTTGGCATTGGCAACGAAGCACGCGTAGCCAAGAATCAACAAGTTGTTTTCCCTTTGCTGCCCGTTCGGAATTGGGCGCTTGGACTAAGAGAAGGAGGGTGAAATTAGAGACGGTGGCGAAGCCGATGCGGGACCCTGTACGCATCATTAGTCAGTCAGTACATCCCAGACCTATAATATGCTAGCAGCAATGCATGAGTATAAGGAGTATAAGGGTGACCTACATGAGTACCAGAACCCGGTGAAGTCACTCGACGTCAACCGCCGCGTAAAGCTAATTACGATTGATGCGCAGCGCTCCGCCGAGTTCAACGTCGTCTCGCCCGTGCTGTGGTCGGATAGCTCTACCGCCGGGAAGGACTCGATCTCAGGCATATTAAGAAAGTCCAGGACAGGTGAATCATCTACCGCTGTTTCCAACGCTGAAGGGTTTGTGGGTAGCTCGTCGAGATCAAAAATCAACGGCGGACTGGATGACCGAGCCATCGGCCGAAGGAGCGCTCGGTAGACAAACAGAACTAGGATCAGATAGGCGAAGTGGATGGAGGTGGGATATGGTGCGAGTCCACTAACAGACTTGCTCCAGTTGGGAAGCCGGAAGCTCTCCGGTAGGGACGAGTACCAGTCATTTAGTTTCTCCAATATCGGCCGGCCGGTGTCGTGTGAAACGCGAAACCTCTCGGACAAGTATTGTGATTTGCGAAGTGTACTAGCCGATGTGCGTTAGTATAGTTTGAACGGAGAACCGTCCTCGTGTACGTACTAAAATGATTCATAAATTTGCTCCGCGATGCTAGAGAGATCCACCAAATAACGAAACGGCGAAGGGTCTTGCGGCTGGTGGGCCCCCGACGAGGATGAGGATGCCCCCCTGGTATGGTAGAGAAAGTCCGCTCCATCAAGCTCGCTGACGTCCCATTCACTCCGGTGAATATACGGCGGTCGGCCCATCAGCAAGCTTCGCCACTTGTCTTCGGCGTAGACGGCCCACCACAGCCGGCGGCGCAGGCGCTTCTCCCAAGCCGGAATCCCCCACATGCGGCATTCGATGTGTAGCCCCAGTGTCTCGGCGAGGCCCACAATCGTGCCGACAAACGACCAGACAAATGGCGTGTCCGCTAAGCTAGCGCGGGACTCGTCGAGCGGCCTATGCAGGTACAACAAGGCCGCCTGCAGAACAGCCAAATGTGGTGTATGAACCTCTTCAGAAATTAGCTCGTACGCCATGCGCCAGAGCCTGTCTGCCGGAGGAGCGTTGTACGTCTGCAGTACACACAGATAGTCATCATGGGCGGCAAACGGCAGAGCCGATGCATAAACTGCGGCAAGCAGATGCACTGGCGTGCGCTCCAGGGCCCCGGGCTCGGGGATGGAACACGACGCAGTTAACCCCATCTGAGAGCGGGATATGAGTGGCAAAGCCGGATAGACATACTTAACGAACCTATCCACATTAGCACACGATTCGCCGATGTTCGGGGATCCTGAAGACTTACAACGACACCAATCTCTGGCCATAATCGTGAGGGACCAAGCGATTGAGCTCTTCTCGCGTGGTGTCGCCGCCGAATCGACAGGATGTCTCCTGTTTGGCCGAGGCCGCCAAATCATCGGCGGCCAGCATAAAATGAACGGGGATCTTGTCCGCCGTCGGAACACCGCCTGCATTGCGGAAGTGGACCTTGTAAAAGCACTTCACGCCGGCATCGTCAAACGAGCAATGCCGCAGGAGCCACGGATCCGACTCGGCGGACGCCCCAAATAATTGGGCCGAAAAGCCTTCCAGCTGATCGAGGCTTTGCACAAATTGCGTTGGATATCGGCCAACTGTAACCAGATGGTTCGATAACGCAGGGGAAACACCACCTGGCACATCCTCCAACCGCGTAAAGGCCGGTTCGGGGACGGCGTTGGTGACCGAAGCACCCCGGGAGGGAAGATGTGACGGGGGATGGTCAGGCTGATCTTCCCATGATGGGGGCAAAAAGGATAATTCAGGATCGGCAGATGAGGTGGCGGAAGCCCTATGAGTCTCTAAATTCCCGGATGATTCTCGTCGAAGCCTCTTAGGTGGTGGATGTTCAAAGGTACATGGTAAATCAGCGGTCCGACAGCGTACACACGGGAGACCGCCGTCGGTCTGACACCCAAGCTTCCTCTCACGGCATTGATCGCAAGGACGGTGCCTTTTGGATCGATACGGACGGGCAGACATCTTTTTCGCGCCTATGAGACACATCCATCATGGGATTTGAGTTGAAAGTGTGGAGGATATTTTTGTTTCATTTTTGCTGCAAGTCCGCCGAAGAATGCCGACAAGGTGGGGAAAAGACGGATGATTCAGCGCTCGGCGGTCAGCGTATTTAATACAGATCATTGATGGATTTTGCTTATGGTGGGTATAGTAAAGTAAAGTAAAGTAATAAATACACATGATCTTATCCTCCCCCTCCTAATCATTTTCAACCGGCAAAGATCTTGAGCTTCCGATCCCACCCCCCCGTTGCGACCACACAGCGCATTTTACTCTCACCACCAGCCCCGTTCCTTGATTCTTTGTCGCTCCCTTTCCCATCGGTTGCGCTGCTATCTACGCCCGACACACTATTCTTGGTCACTCCTGGAGCCCATCGGAGACAGGTGACAAAGCTTTCATGAGCGTCGAGCGTCTTCACGCACTTTCCCTGTTGGCTCAAGTCCCAGCATCTTAGTGTCTTGTCATCCGATACCGAAAGGAGATACTTTCCCCCAGGATGAAAGACAAGAGCCTGAACCCAGCTATCATGACCCACTAGCGTCATGAGACAGGTCCCGCGAGTATCCCATATTTTGATGGTTTTGTCCCGCGACCCCGTAGCCATAAAGTCGGTGCTGTTTGCAGACGGACGTTTCCCTAGTCCGGCCAAGGGGGCGAGGAACTGATAGGAGGTAGGAGGTGCGAGCGCACAGCATTCATTGTAGTTCTCATGGCCAACCATCGTTCGTACATGTTCTATATTCGATATTGTAGAGATATCCCATAAGCGAGAGGTCATATCATGTCCAGTAGAGAGAAGGAACCTCGCATCAGACGAGAGGCAAATATCCCGCACCCAGTCGGTATGGCCCTTGATGGTCTTCACACAAAACCCGGTTGTGACGTCCCAGACTCTCATGTCCGTGTCTCGGCTTGCACTAACAAGCAAGTTTCCCGATGGTATAAAACGAACCGCGCTGACGATATGATCATGGCCTTGCAGGGTCCGGATATTCTTATAATTATCGGCCGGATCCCAGATTTTAATAGACAGGTCGGAGCTGCAGGATGCCAGAAGGGCATTATCCCGCGGGCCGCCGTAGTCGATATCCCGGACTGCTCTTGTATGGCCCTTCAGGGTCCGCTCAAGTTCCCCGAGTTCCCAATCCCATATTTTGATCGTGCAGTCGTCGGAGCCGGAGGCAATGGAAGAAAATGTTGGGTGGAAAGCAACGCAATTTATTTTATCTCGATGAGACTCTAATGAATAGCGCGCAGTAGTAGGGAGCCAAGAAGTTGGATCTTGGTTGCGTTTTAATCGGGAGGCGGGCGTTGTGTTATCGAGCTCGGATTGGAGTGTCGCATTTCTGGACTCAAGCTCCATTATCTGTCATCACAGGATAATTAGATGCCACCGTGCCGCTAGTAGTATATACGGTGGAACAGAGGATCTGAAGTGCAGACATGCCTTTTTCTGTAAGCGGGCAATGCTTGTCCATTTTTTCTCCAGCATTCCTTCGTACCTTTTCGCTGTAGTTGCATCAAAAGCATCATCCCCTAAGTTCACCTCTCTCCTGAGTGCAGCGGCCGTGTCCGGTAGTTCATTCGCCAGTAAATATGCTATCATTGACTTGTGTCTGCACGCAAATTTAGCTTCAGCCAGCACCAGCTAGCATAGGACATACTCACAGCTCCTCGGCCTGTCTGTTTGTTAATAAAGGAGCCATGACGATGTGGGCCTGTGGGAGAAACCCGAGGAGGATGCGAAAAGAGAATACATCTCTAGAGCGTTGTTTTGATGTCTGTCTAAACCCGGATACCGGATAAACCTATTTCCCCGTTCCTATCAAAGGGGCTTCAGAGAGTCCTTAACGTACATACTCAGTATCTACTCTTCACCTTGTGTCTCGATATGTATGTTTAATATATATTACAGCCAGCATAGGAGATGTGAGTGTCAAATGATGTATGTACAGAGGCCAATCACTCCGATGGTATCTTCTCTGAATAGTTTCGGAAAGTATATAAACTGTATAGTGAATATCCCTAACTTAGAACTGGCAATTATGGTGGTTTGCTAACTTCAAGCTAATACTCAAGCCCTGGCACAATAAATCTAGTCCCAGTAAACCCCGTTCCAGGAAGAGAAGACACATTTAATTGCAGCAATGGTGAATAAGCCTCTTGCACGTTAAATACAACTGATTGTAAGGTTCTTGCGCTTAGAGGAGCATCAGGCTATAACCCTAACTAGCCTTCCTGGGAAAGTGCATTCTATGATCCATAATCCATTCACGGTAGGTTAACTTAAGTACTAACTGGACTTTATACTGACAGGATCTATATCCGGCTTCATGTCTTCATATTTACATTCATTCTCTACGTGAACTCCCTACTCATATTAACTTAGCATCTCGTGGAGACCTTCTATCGCATCAGCTTCTGTATACACAATACATCAATCACAGACCCCCAAAATTAGAGCAATGCTTACGCGAAATATTCATCAAACCTCTCCTGCGTCTCCTTCTGGCAATCAAAGCCATAGATAGTCCGTTGGACATCCGCATCTGCCCACTTATCAGGCACCGGCCCGTTACCATTCTTCAGAGCTGCGAACTGCTTATCACGCTCCTCCTTAGCAGCACCCTCCCCTAAATGAAGAGCTCGACCCGATGCAGCCGCCAGCTCTACAAGTGCGTACGCTCGCTCCTTGCGAATCTTCTCATACACCTTGAGCGCCTTGTGAATCGAGGCGGGCGTTGTATTCGGTAACCGGGCCAAGGCGATGGCAATCACTGCACCATCTTCAATAGCCTGCGCCGCTCCCTGCGCAAGATGTGGCAAAGTCGGATGGCACGCATCACCGACGAGAGCAGTGGACTCATGAACCCATGTATCCAACGGTTCATGAACGCGCAATTTCCACTCACAGATCTCCCCTTCGGGGACATAGTTCAGCATGCGCTGGACCATGGGGCAGAAATCATTAAACACGTCCAACATGACCTTCTTCGAGCCGCGAGTGGTATAGGTGGCGTTGGTGGCGGCCGCGAAATTCGTATCGGGCTGAACAGTCGACAAATTATAAATGGTATTGTTGGATACCGGGTATGCGATGATGTGTCGCTTCTCGCCGATCCAGCGAGACACCGTGTTGCTGTTCATCAGCTCCAGAAGCTCCGGGTCGTCCTTGATCTGGTCCTTGTGGATCATGATTCGGTAGGACGCTTGATTCGTATCCTTCACGGCTGTCTGGATGCCGAGTTTCTCCATCATCGCCACGCGCGTGTTGCTCTTGATGCCGTCGGCGCCTAGCAGCACGTCCGCCTCGACCCGGTACGGCGCCTTGCTAGTGTCGCGGGGAACGGCTATAAAAGATGGCCGGGGGCCGAACGAGTCGACATTGTCGGCGGTGATGGAGAAATGGAACCGGATGTTCTCGTAGCGGAGGCACCCCTGGTATAGCCCGTTGGCCAGCGACGAACGGTGACCGACCATGTGCGGGTATCCGTATGTGTCTTTGATATAGTGGAGCGGAACATGTGCCAGTTCCATGTCAGTGGCGCCAACTAGAGATAATTATCTGTATATCTGTGGTGATTGTAATAAATAAACAGAAGCGAAAACTCACCTCTCACGCTAGTCTCTACAATGTTTACTGCCTCAGCTTCAATCCCCTTCCATACCCCCAAACGGTCTAGCACTCGGGCCATATTCGGCGCCAGTTGGATCCCCGCTCCAACGAACCCTAGATCCGAGGCCGATTCGTAGACATCTATGTTTTTGAACCCTTCCTGGGCGAGGGCTAGGGCGCACGTGAGCCCTCCCATACCTAGTACATCCCCGGCGTTAGTAAATCGTCTAAATCGCGCTGTACGGCAATAGGTCAAAACACACCAGCGCCCAGAATGGCGATTCGAAGATCTTGTGGTGATTGGGCCATTGTAAATAAATGAGAGAGAGAGAGAGAGAGAGAGAAATACTAGCTGATCTCCAATCTTATGTTTGGTCATCATCCAGGGTTATTTAAATGATAGTACAGTCCATACTACGAGCCTCGGCCATAGGGCGGGAAAAGGCTTTTCCGCTATCAAACCCCACACTCTCCACAACCCACAATTGATGGAGATGAGGACAGACCCTGAGGATGCTTGGATTTCTAAAGGGTTTCGAACCTAGTATGTCTTTAGTATTTGCTAGAGTAAGTGTTGGAAATGAGTGAATAATTATTTACAGACCAGCGGAAACACAGCAATAACTAAAGTAAATACTTTCGACGATATTTCCAATCCTATACTTAACCCTAATGGAATACTTGATCCGATATTAACAACAAACAGGAGGGCATACAAGTTGGCCACCACAAACTATTTAGACATGAGTAGCTAGATTAAATATATATTGCTCTTATCACACAGCAATGAGAACAAACACCAGCTTCAATAACAGGATCAACCGTCTTTAACGTACGTGCGTGCGTTTTCCTTTGCTAGAACATCGGATAGACAAAATATGTGATGCTATATCGGAATGTGAAGGTAGTGACTTTTAGATAGAAAATCCAACGCGCTCGATGCGCCCCTGTTTCATGGCCATTGTTGTCCATAGCAAATTCTATACCACTAGCATGTTAGTTTCCCAGAAAATTGGACCGAGCCCATGCGCTGCACTCACAAAGTTACCTCAACGGGCCTAAGCCACTGTTTCAGGCATGGAACCAGAGGAAGGGCACATTCCTATGTCTGCCCTTTCTTACTTCCTTTCAGCTAATGCAGTTTAGGGGGCTTAGAGTTCACAATTGTTAGAGATCAACATAACTTGCGCTACCGCTGTAGGGCGCTCGAGAGCCGGTTCAATAACAAAGCCTCAGGTGAATTTGGGTACGCTATATGGACTTTCAGGATTTGTCTGCTTTCTAACAAGGATGTATAGATAAGGCGTTCTCAAGCCAATTCGGCACTATTACTTTTGTGACTATGCGGTTACTCTTTGAGTTCTTTGATAGTCTTGTTTTGCTTGGAAGTATTCGTGTTGTATCATCAATGCCGTGTCATATAGGGGTACGCGTGTATAGTGGATTTAGTCCCTTGAGAGATATATACTATAGTATCAATAATCTTTGCAGCGTAGGTTATTGACTCCAGCTAGGATCTAAATAAACAATCCAGAACATCCGGCCCCTGATATTGAGGTTACCCCTGAGTTGCTCGAAAGGGGGGCTTATGACTTCCTCTATCCATATAGAATTTCAAGAACAAAGAAACGCCAAGGAAGAAAAGCGCAGAGCCAGGAGGGAGAGAGAAAAAAAATGAAATGAAAAGAAAAAGAAAGACCATAGCTTCCTTCTGAAAACTAACCTCAGTTGTAGAAAATTTATACAGCATCACCAATAGAATCCATTAGAAGACCACAAGGTATGGTGGCACCATGAAGGGGTTCATGCTCCCAAGCAAGCTCGCCTAGTGAAAGAAACTTTGTCCGATGGAACATATCTGTATAGCCATATCATATATCTCATCCAGCTAATTGCCTCATTCCATTGTCTAAATGTCTCATGCTAAAGTCCAGTATAAATTACCCAACTTATCCTGTCGGCTCATCCTCACAATCAAGTTTCACTTTCCGTTCCTTGCATATCATCCCTTCTCGGTCTGTTAGCACAGGATTGCAACGGTACAGACAACATGCCCCCCCATTCTACATAGAGACTTATTACCTTGGGCGCCCTGGTCAGTGAATTACCGCTTTTGACCCAGAGTTCAAAGACGACTTTCCAAGTACCCACGAAGTAATTGGGCTCAGAACGGCCGATGGGGTAGATTACCCCATAAGCAAGACCTTCACTGGAAGCTTGACTCATTTACTGAGCAAACCATAGCCATTAGCGCGCATATATGCAGAGAATGGGTTGTTCCGCCTATTCCAGGCAAAGCATATGCGATGCTGCGCAAGGGGGTCTCTGTGTCTGATATATACGCGCCAGTTCCTGTGCCACTAGGAGGGCCCTCCGACGACTGGATGATTCGGTTTGTACACCGTGCCAAAGTCCAGTTTGCATTAGATACTGAAGCATCAGGGGCTCAGGTACTGCGCGATTGCTGCCAAATCGGAACAGTGGGAAAAGGTCTACAAGACCTGGATCCCTGATCTGACCACTTCATTCCGAAGGACCCAAATAAGCCGCCGCCTGAGGTACCCGTTCCAGTACCAGATGAGCCCCGAACCAGCGGCTGGGGGATCCGATCAAAGGAGGAGGAAGTAGAAGAAGAAGAAGAAGAAGAAGAAGAAGAAGAAGCCAAAGCCCGTGTCTGATGAGGTCGACTTACATCGCTTCAAAGACCAAGATGGAGCCCAGGAGCAAAACATGCAAAGGTATTTCGAATCATGTGGGCCTGGACTGGGATATCCAGAAGACAATTCGCATTTCTAAGTACCCCACCGGTGATCCTCATGTCACCCTTCACTTCTGAATGTCTCGATCTATTAGCACATATTGGATTATCAATCGATTAAGAAGGCAGCTCTAGACTAAAGAACAGAAAGGAGGTCAGATTCAAACAAATAGAGTGGAACTAATACTACCCGTGGTGGAATCCGAGGAAAGATTGCTTCTCCACGTTGGCAGTTGTTCCCCCGTGGGGCGATTCAATTTACTTCCGTTCGGGCTTGAATTTGATAGTATTAAAATTATCTACTACTGTACACTGATTTATACATACACATGGATACATTAGTCCTCAGAGAATTCGATATTTCTAGTCGAAGACCTGTCCTTTTGGTGGCGTGAACTCACTCATACCGTGTGGAGATATGCGCATGGGAGGACGATCTGATATGTTAGTTCGTATTTCAGTGTGAAGCAAAGAACAGAAACACTTACTACAAAGCCTCACCAAGGGTCTCCACCACCTGGCCAACGGGGGTACCAACGCCGGGCAGTCCCAGCCCGGAAATAAGGCCGGCGACGGATGGAGCAAGCTTAACAAGCAGAATGCCACCATCTTCACCAACGATGGTCAAGATGCACTCGGCAGGGTCACCCAAGTCGTAGACAAGGTCTCCCACAGTAGCAGCGGCCTTGATGACTTCACCGACCGGCTCAGCCAGCTGCCCGAGACCCAAACCAGTGACTAGATCAGCGACAGGCTGGCTCAAAGCAACAAGGAGGGTTTTGGAGTCTTCGCCAACAATCTTAAGAACGCAGTTGACGGTGGGAGCTAGATCTTCGAGGAGTCCATCGTCGCGCTTGAGGTGCTCACCAATGGTGCCGACGATGTTGCCCACGGGCTGAGCGATGCTGGGAAGTCCGAGTCCGGCAATTAGTCCGGTAAGAGAGGGTTTGAGCGCGATTAACAGGTATCCACCATCTTGTCCGACCACGGTCAAGAGGCATTCAACGGGGTCGCCCAAGTCGGCGATGAGCTCGCCAATGGTGGCAGCGCTCTTGATAATCTCGCCAACGGGCTCTCCCACACCAGCGAGGCCAAGACCGGCCAAAAGGTGAGCGACAGCGGGGCTGAGCTTGAGCAAGAGCTTCTCAGTGTGCAGGCCGACAATAGTCAGGACGTCGTTGGCCTGGGGGCCCAGGTCCTGGATGAGATGCCCGGTTCCGTGGCAGCCACTGTCATCGCAACCTCCCTTGTGAGGTTCTTCAGGATCTTCAGGGTCCTCCGGGTCCTCGGGGTCATTAGGGTTTCCAGGTACCGGAGGAACGCCAGTGGGAGTAGGCACTCCGGAGGGAATACCAGGGATGGTTGGGACACCGCTAGGAACAGGAATCGGGGTAGGCGCAGGAGTCTCGGAAGGGGGCAGAGATGGTACTCCTGGAGTAGAAGATGGCACCTCAGGGTTGCTGCCCTCATTGTCCGAGTCGCAGCCGCAGGGCTTTCCGGCCACACCACGGGCCTGAGGAACATTGCCCAAGGGGCTGGCGGCACTGCAGGCCGCCAAAGCAATAGTAGCCAAGATGGTTGCTCTCATCGTGAAAGGAATGAAGGGTACACTCGGAAGGAATGACTGTCAAGCGAAGAACGAAAGGAGAAAGGGAGGGCCGGGAGAAGGAATGGATGAGTCGCGATGCTGAATGGCAGGGGAGCGTCGTAGGGCGATATTTATACAGCTTTCTGACATTTAGATCGACTTGATTTCTTTTGCGGAGGCTTGGCCGCATGCATCGTACCTGCTTTGCCAAGCAGTGACTATTCTGAACTATTCAGCTCCGTCGGACGTAGTGGCGTATATCGCCTTTGACTGCACCGCATCAGAGAATTCAAGTCAAGCTGCAGAAGAGTAGCAGCACGTTTGGATTCGTAGATATCATCTCGTAATGTATATACCTGTCTCTAGTTCTATGTCGCTCGGCTTTCCCATACATCACTTCGAATATTGACATGTCAACCCTATGGTAATGACTGGTTGGTACTTCTGTTGACGCATCTCATGGAAATCTCTGCCCAACATTTGACTCTCCCAAGTCCCTGATTCCGACTCCATCTTCAGGGGTTACATGGCCTCATTGTCTCAGACATGCATTCGTAGCTTCAATGTGGCTGGCGATGGCCCAGGATTAGTTCCTGTTTGAGGCTCGAGATCCTCGTTGTACTATATCCACCTCAGTGGCGAAAAGCGTAAGTCCTAAAAAAAGGTCCATGTTCCTGTCAAGAGAGTGCCCCATAATAAGCTTAAAGTCGTGCTGACACCCTTTTGTCCGAATCGTTATGATCGTCGGGGTCTGGTGTGTTTCGGGGACTGGCCTGCGTGAACTATTGAACTTGGCGCAGTTGATCGCCCGGACCGAATGTGATGGATCGCAAATTGCTGCCAATTGGCTGAGAAATCATAGCCTGACGGGAGTTTATTCCAAAAATTAAAAGTAAAACGAGTAATGATCAAGGATGAAGGAGATAGGGAGAGGCAGAAAAAGAAAATCTCTAAGGTAACAGTGCATCCGGTTCCGACCAGAAATTTTACCTCCGTTCGCTCTTATTGGGGGAATACTGCTATCAAATCATGCCCCACAGGTAGTGTAGCAATTTCTGATGCCAGCTGGACTGTCTGGGTTTTCCTGGACCTCCCGGTCCATGTTCGCCCCAGTATCGTCGCCCTTGACCATTCGGCCTTGATGCCTCTCGACACTGGGGGTGTTCATAGTCCTCCACCGTGCCCATCGGCCAGATCGGAATCACGCAGATTTCATTGTCCGCACATCCGTTGCACTCCTTCCAGGTGGTCCAGGACAAGTAGTCGACTAGACTCCGAAGCTGAGTGACCGCTACGTCGTAGTCGGTTTGCTTCCAGGCCTCGATCATCGTCGAGCAAATACTCCGGGCTACGGATCGAACGGCATCGCTGGCTAAGCCCTCGGTCGGAGCCCCTGCAGGGACAAATTGCGCACTGCATCGGTCGGCCTCTACGTCTGCATTGCGATCACCGTAATCAATAAATGGACCGAGGCTATTCTCGATTTCCTCATGAAGCTCCTGCAGCGTGGAAAGCTGGCCCGACGCCAGGTACCGCAGCTCATGCGCGTATCGTTGCACCACCATGTCTGCAACGCCCTGCCAATTAAACGATGCCTCACTGCGATCATGATTCATAATAAGATGGTCTAGATCATTTCGAATTGGACCCAGCTCATCGGCAAACAGATGACTCAGTCGCGGTAATGAGTTGCTATTACTACTCGAGGACCGAAACAAATCCAGCCCATAGACGTACGCAGTCACAAATTTGTCATAGTTGAGTATAACCCTGTTACCCCCTATTCCGTTGTACCGCGCTGTAATGGCCTTATACCAGAGCTTTGCTCCGTCCAGATCACCCTTCTTGCCCCTGCCCGGACGTGGCCCTGGCCCTGGGTGGCTACTCTTACCCTCAGGCTTCACCCGAGTAACCCGGACCTCCTGGAGGTTTCTGGCGAAGTCGCAAAGAATGATCTCGAACCCTGCCTCCATACGGAGGATGCCGTCCAGTCGACCTTGGTAGTTTACCCGAGCCATGGCACACATCAGATCCGCCCGTTCTCGTTCCAGCATCCCGGGCCTACCCTCAAGTGCATCACGAAGTAGAATCCGATCCTGAGAATCGAGCGTTCCGTTTTCCGTTTTCGCGGCGGACATTCCGTCGATATACAGTAGTCGCAAGTCCTTCGCGGCCGTGTATGTATGCAACCACCCTGCCTTCTCTTGCTTGTTCCCTGAATCTTTCTGTTCCGACTGTAGCGGGATCTGGATCCGCTTATACGGACGCGTACCTTTGTCCGGAGGAGGGCCATGAGGACCTGCGAAGACCATGGCATGTTCAGGCTCGAAGGCCAACCATTCCGTTCCGTTCACCGGGTCGGGCGAGGAATTTCCGTGGTAGAGTTGCGTTCCTTCTGGTACGGTAGCTAGAAAGAAGGACATGCCGTTGTGATGCAACGACGATCCCCATTGGCGCATCGAGGAGTGAATTGCATTGAAGATGTGGTTGGCATTTGGTGGAAAGGTGAGCTCCGAGGCTGCGAAGATAGGGAGCTGAAGTGAGAAAAGCAGTAGAAGGGCTCGTAGAAGGACCGTAGGGTTGTTAGTCCCTGTCATGGTTTGTGCGTTTTTGATTCTCCCTATTTGAGAAAATTTGGTGGCTGAGTTGTGAGATCTTATATAGTGATCCGACTCGGAAGCTACTTAAAGTCAATCACCAACGCCAAGTGGGGAAGATGACAACGACGGCCGCGTCACCTGTGAGACTTCGAACTCCATTATTTCGCCTTATTGGTCAGTATTCAGTTCTCCGGTAATATTCAATTAGAATAATTGGGCTGCCTAGAATTCTGACGGGGAGAAATACCTAAAGTAGCTCTGATCAAGCCCTAGGAGTCAGGATTGAATACCGATCTTATCTCGTCCCCACATTGTTCTTATCAGATCTTCAGGAGAACCAAAATGTTAACCTGGGTAGTGGATGAGATCCCCCGGACGTAGAACACAACCAACCCATACCAGCTAAAATAGTGCAGGGCATACGTTCACTCCGTGCTCAATGAACGGAGGTGGAATCATCGGCCCAACTCCCAATGTGACACGACGTAGTTATTGTGATGATCTTTATTGTCCACGACAAAATATAAAGTCACAGTCTTAGTCTATGGTTAGAGGTTCCTTCAGCATTATGTTGAGGCCCAGAAGTTGCGTCTGGTCTGGGAGCGAAAGAGTCCAGGACTCCTTTCAAAGAAGCAATAATAATAATAATAACATGTACTACCTCAGAGACCAGTTTTATTGTCAGTCGCAGGTCACACTACGATCATTGTCTCTATTTCTAGCCTAGGATCCGGTGGGTGTTCATAATGATCTCTAGTATAAAGTGATGGAGAATAAAGTTCTCCTCAGTCTCCTCCATTGTTGTTTCCAACCTTATCCAGATGAACGAATCCAAAGAGGCCCCAGATATAAAATGGCACAGTATGAGCATGCCAAATGGAATATGAAAGTCTCCTCCTGATATACAAATATCCAATCTTCTCCGGTGTACCAATTTACCTTCGAGCATATGTTCAATAGCTTCGCTCCCCACAAAAAGCCATACGCACATCATCTGTCAGTTGCGGCTTGGCATGGCAGTCGGATGAATAATCATGGGACAAGCATCGCCAGAAGCGATAGACATATTTGGCTTCATCGTAGGCCTGTACAATTCACGTGATGGACAATGGGGCCAGTTCCAGGATTGCTGTGGTGTCCATATCGCTGAGATATATGCGTTTTCTAGAGTATGCGGCGCTGTTCATGTGCAACCTAGGCAATTACTACATGCGTAATTAACTATTCGATGGGTCGGGGTTTCGGCTCACAACGGACAGGGTTGGGGGG